CAAGGTCTGTGCAGACTATGACAGAGAATAAGAAAGTTGAACTGACAGCCCTGAGGCAAGTGAAGGTGTGCTGTCGTCCCCCCAGGGGAAATGTGCTTCTGGTGGTCTTTGCATATTGGTGGAGAAAAGGCATTTGCCAGATCAGTAGCTGTGAAGGTAAGACTCTTTAAACCCTGGAGTCATCCTGAACCTCTCTTCCCAGCAGAAGCAGCTCCTCCGAGGATTAAAACATTCCTGCTGCCCCTGATGGTTAACATGCACGTTTCTGCCAGGCCTTGTCCCCTGAGCTCTGTTATGTTGGTCTTTCATCTGCACTGAAGTCAGGGACGCCTGATAGTAGTGTCTCCTAAGGCCACACTGGCCTACAGGGGACAGCCACCACTGCAATTTTCAGGGTGGAGGTGCCCTCCGAACTAATCTGTTTCTCGATACCTTCATAACAAGAGTGTCCTTCTCTGTAGTATGAGTTTGTGTGTGTGTGCACACAATATTGCACACAATAAACCCACTTCAACCTTCCTGTACCCTAAGCCTTTGGGTTCCCTCCTCCACACTATACCAGGGAGGGTCCGGCAATTCAACCTCATTGAATTTAGGCCACTGTTGAGTCCAGGTCTCAGTCAACCCACCAGACAAAACCTCCTTCAGGCTGCTCAGTCTAACACCTTAAATCCAGTCTTTTAAATGGCCCATATAGGTAAATTCGAGCCAGTCCAGTGTTGTGTCCCACGCGCCTTGGCCGGATTCTCTTAGATGCCATCCCATATTTATTTTTTATGCCCATTACATAAGCAAACCCTTCCAATTCTTTTGAGGTACAAGCAGAATCCCTCAGGGTCAGATTTTACTTGTCCACCTAGAGTTAGAGGTCCAGGGGGCAGTAAGGGACCTCCTTGCAAGGCAGCGAGCTCAGGTAAGGTTATGACAGGTCTTCAAGTGATGGCTGGTTGATCAAGGTGTCCTTAGGAACTAAATTGATGGGTAGCTTACTCAAAAGCTATTTGACCCATGTGACAAGAAATACTCTAGATCTGGTGTTCAGAAGCCTGAGTTGAGATGTCACAATAAAGAGTCACATATCACCCAGTCTCCAGACCTAGGTTACTCCAAGATGCAATGCCCTGGATTGAAGGCATCGCTAACCCTCTTAAAGGACCAGCTCTGCCACAAGAATAGTCATAGATCTGCCTCCAGGGGTCTGCTGCCATTTTCCTCAGGGGAAGGAAATACCAGATCTCTCAGGGGTTGAGAGAGACTGGCTCTGACTTGAGACTAATCTCCAAACTTTCTGTGGTCTGCAACAAAGCAGGGTTTTATGGTGGTCAGATGATAAAGTGAGTTTGGGCGAGTTTGTCTCCCGGTGGCTCACTGCCTGTGCATGCCCGCTCTGGTTATTTCCCCCGTCCTGGCTGGTGATTGGAAGGGACATACTCAGCAATTGGCAGAATCCCCACATTGGCTCTCCTCCCCCTAGGGTGAGGACCCTCAAGGTAGGAAGGTCCAAGCAGCAGCCTCTGCCAAGATAGCAAACCGGAAGCAACACCACATCCCCAGGGAAACCGCAGAGATGAGTGCCACCATCAAGGACTTGAAAGACACAGGAGTGGTGATCCCAGCGCATCCCCACTCAGCTCGCCTGTGTGGCCTGTGCAGACAACAGATGGGTCCTGGAGAGTGCCAGTGGTTATCCTGAACATAGGCCATGACTCTAATTGCAGCTGTTCATTCAGGTGTGTTCTCTTACCTGGAACAAGTCAACTCAGTTCCTGGTACAAGTGTAACAAGATTTTCAACTTCATCTGAATCCACCCAAACAACCCCATTCCAAGCCTCAGGAGCCGCCTCCCTCCCAGGCAATGCCTGAGCTCAGATATGACACTTAGTGGGTCTGTGAATTCAACAGAGGTTGTAATTCTGAAATATACACAATTAAATTTTGTATCTAAGTTTCAGCTATATCTTCCCTTTGGCTACAAAGAATCAGAAATTCTGTTCGAGAGACTAGTTCTCTGATTCTCTGTGTCTTGAGCTAAGGATGTAAAGCCCTGAGCGAGTGGTTTTCTTTCTACAACCTCTGCAGTGGTCATAAGCAGCCAGCCCACCATACAGTCTGTATGGTCACAATTGCTGCCATCGTCTGCCCATTGCAGTGGCCATTTGGCCTCCCAAGGCACCAGCTTCAGTCGACACCTCATTTCAAGCAACCACAGGTGATGGTTTAAGTGAACGATGCCCCTGCCTACTGTGGATTGCCAGCATCCCATGGCAGGAGCTCAGCTCTGTGCTCCACACTGAGGTCAGAACCCAATCAAACCCAGAATCCCAACTTTGAGGGTCTGTTTCTTGGGACCCCTCTTGATACCAATTACCGTGTCAGCCAGGGTTCAGACAGGAGACTGAAACCACACTAGATATTTCACACAGGGGACTTGGTTGTGCACATTTTGCAAAGCTCGGAGAGCAAAAGCAGACGTTGCAGAAACTCAGAGATTAATATTTGCTGGAAGCCACTACCCCTCATAGGGTTCGGGGGACCCAAGGGAAGGTTTGGTGACCACAGAATCCTGGAGCTAACAGGCCGGTGCTGTGAGGCTGCCATTGGGAGCGCCAGAAGAAACTTGCAGGCTCCCCAATCACAGGCTGCCGGCTTCATCTCTGCAGACCTCTCACCTGACTGTGCCCTGATGGACTGAGGTTCAGCCAGTGTCTCGTGGTCTCTGCTCTGCCCCTTTGGCCTGGCCACCACCAGTTTTAGTCTGGTGCCCCAAGGCCTGAAGGCCTTGTCACTCAGTGGTCCCTTCTGCAAGGAATGCCTCCTCCTCTGGCCCCCCCAGAGCATGCAGCCTTCTAGGGCCTGGCTTCGAATGGGGGCAGCGAGCCTGCAGCAGGTGCTCAGCAGTGTGGAAGGGAAAGCTGGCCTCGGGATTCTCCCCATCCTGTCCCACTCAGCAGGAGCTCAGACCCTGCAGTGCCGCGGCCCAGCGTGCCTGGTCTCCATGACGCTATCACCCCTCCCACTGCCCTTCTGCCCCTTGCCTCGCCCACTCCTACCATTCTGGCCACCTCATTGCTCATCCTGCCTCACAGCCTTGGCACTGGCTGTTCCCTCTGCCCGGAATGCCACTCCCCCGGTTATCCGCAGGCCCAACCTCCTGGCCTCTTCGGATCTCTGCTCCCCGAGAAGCCTTCCCTGGACTTCCAACACCACATGGCTGCCCTCCCCCAGTCTCCACCACATCCTCAGGACTTATGGTCTTCCCAGCACCTACCCTCTGCCTTCTCCATCTCCCTGACCAGCCTGGGCTCCTTGGGGGCAGGGCCCGGGTCACATTTCCCCACAGTCTTCTCTGTGCACGGTACACAGGAGATGCTCTACAAACGTTTGTGGAATGAATGGGCGAGGAGGAAGCCAGGTCAAGCGGGAGGTGGAAGCTGGGAGGTTTCCCGGGGTTCTCAGCGGAAAGCTGGAGCCTGGACACCCAGGGTGGGGACCAGACCCCAGGGTGGGATGGCAGGGCTTCCTGAGGGGTCCAGTGTGAGAACACCCTGTTGTCACCCATCCCATTCTACCCCATCAGGCTGTGCCTTAGGGAGACGAGGAGGCCATGAGGAGAGAGAGAGGAGGGGAGGCCGGCAGGATGGGAGGCCATGGGGAGGCGGAGGCCTGGCCTCTCAGCAGTGGGCTACAGCCACACGAATGACCACGGGCAGCTCAGATAACTAGCCACAACCTAAGCACAGGTCTGAAATGAATGTCCTGGGCATAAATCAGACTCCAAATCCGTGGTGGGTTACACAGTGGAGAATGAACTGGTGCTGAAGAAGGAGGAACTACAGCTCCCAAGATGAGCCGGGATGCCCCTCCGGAAAGCCCCCATGATGCTGACTATAGAAAATCCAGATGCAGGCGAATCCCATCTTGGCCGTCACACCTGGGGTGGGATATGTTGGGGAGGGGCCCACTGGGCTTTGGGGTGGGCTGAGGCCCTGCCCATGTGACCTCAGCTGCCCCATGGTGGGTGGGCCTCAGTGTCTCCTCGGAGAAAAGGATCCCAGTGCGTACAGCCATTGGGAAGAGGAGATGAGAGACCACACAGAGAGGGAGGCATGGGGAAGCCCCTACTTGGCCTCCTCTCTTTCACATCCAACACAACACAGTAACACCATCTCCTGCCCAGGTTCGAGCACGCAGAACCCTGTGCCTGCCACAGCTGTTGCCTCCTAATTTCTATTATTTATTACATACTATTTTATTATTTATTATTATTCATAAACAAATCATTCATTTTAACATTCATTTTATTATTTTAATGTATTCATTATTGTGTTTTAAATATTTAGTATTTTTTAACTTATTTATTGTATTATTTATTTTTAATATTTAGTGTTTTATCATTTCTATTAATTTAGTATTTTCACTTTAATCATTTTGTTAGTAATATTATTATTCCATTCTATTGTTTATTTTTCATTTTATTTCTTTATTTAAATTTATCTATTATTTATTACATTACTTGTTTTAATATTTATTGTATTTTATTTTTAAAATTGTACTTTTTTCATTTAAATCATTTTATTATTCATTATTCATTTTACTTACATGTTATTGTTTGCTATTGCTTTATATCGCTTATTTTTTTTTTAAGGTTTTTAAATTTTTCCTTTTTCTCCCCAAAGCGCCCCAGTACATAGTTGTATATTTTCAGTTGTGGGTCCTTCTGGTTGTGGCATGTGGGATGTCACCTCAGCATGGCTTGACGAGCAGTGCCATGTCTGCGCCCAGGATCCGAACCGGTGAAACCCCGGGCTGGCGAAGCCGAGTGCGCAAATCCAACCACTGGGCCACGGGGCCAGGCCCTATCACATATTTTTTAATTATCATTTTTATTTTTTACTGTTAACTTAGTTTATTAGTTACTCATAATTATTGATTACTGTTATTGCTGAGCCTCCCGAGGCTACAGTGGTTCGCCCTTTGTCCCCACCGGCTGCACCCCACCCCCGTTCGGGGCAAGATAACAGGCGGGAATAAGTCAGCACCCCTGCTGCCCTCTCCGGCCTTGTCCCTGCAGACACTGCCCGGGTCTGGAGCAGTGGGCACCATGTCCTCGCTGGCCGCCCTCCTGCTGTTCGCGGGTGAGGTGTGGGGCTGGGGTCCATGGGTGGGCTGGGTGGGAAGCACAGGACTGGCCTCACCTGCGTGTCTCCTCAGGTCTGTCCCTGGGCCCAGCCACTGAGGCGGCCGTCGGTGAGTGTGGGGTCTGGGGGGGGGGCGGGTGGGCCGCCCGCAGGGCTGAGCCCCCAGCCCATGCCCAGCTCTCATCTGGCCCCACAGTATTTGACCCCAAGCCAGCCCTGTGGGCAGAGGCCGACTGGCAGCAGGAGCCCTGGACCAACTTGATGCTGACCTGCCAGGCCCGCCTGCAGACCAAGGACTTCCAGCTCTTCAAGGATGGGGTGGCCCAGGAACCTGTGCAGGTTGGCTCACCCACCATTGAGCACCAGTTCCCACTAGGAGCAGTGACCAGTGACACCCGGGGCCTCTACCGCTGCCGCTCTGGCTTGGACAGCGGCTGGACCCAGCTGAGCAACCTGGTGGAGGTGACTGGAGCAGGTGAGCAGAAGCTTTGTGGGGCCAGTGGCTGCAAGAGGCGCCTCCCTCCCTCCACTCCTCACTCTCCTTGTCTTCTTTTTCCCTCCCCCTCCCAAGCAGCTAGGTAGCCTTGGGCAAGTCACCTGATATCTCTGAGCCTGAGTTTCCCCATCTGTAAAGTGAGGATTATGCTTGTACTGAACCCAGCAGATTGTGAGGAATAAATGACTGAGTCCCCAGAAAGTGCTTATGGCAGGCCTGGCACACAGTGGGGTCCTTACTGCATCTTCCTCTAGTTTTACACCTCTGTCCCCACCTGTCCCTGCCTCCCTTTTCCCCAACAATGCCTTCCATCTCCCCATCTCCCTTACACTTTCATGAGTGTGGAGGTCCAGGTCCGGCTGGGCCACCCATGTCTCCTAAGTCATGCAGAACCAGCTACCAACTCTGCCCCACCTGCAGAGTCCCTGCCCCCACCCTTGCTCTCGACTGAGCCTGTGTCCTGGATCACACCGGGCCTGAACACAACGCTGCGGTGCCAAGGGGGGCTTCGGGGTGTTACTTTCCTGCTGAGGCGGGAGGGCGACGACCAGTTTCTGGAGGTGGCTGAGGCCCCTGAAGATGTGGTGGTCACCTTCCCGGTCCACCGGGCTGGCAACTACAGCTGCAGCTACCGGACCCACGCAGCAGGAGACCCCTCTGGGCCCAGCGCCCCTGTGACTATCGAGGAGTTGGGTGAGTGTGTGGGCCGTCCCAGAGGGCTTCCAGGGGTAGCAGGCTCCTGGAGGACAGAGCTGCGTCTACCTTGACCCTCAGCCCTGAATACCCCTGCCCAGGACTGGGTCTGGGAAACTGGTCACACAGTTGCCTGGATCACACCAGGCCTGAACAGGCACTGCTGCGCAGCGGTGGGACTGGGGATGGGCCACAAGCAGGGGTGTGCCCGGGGCTGCCACGCGGAGGTAGGGGTCTGGAGGCTGGGCTGACCGTAGCTTTCCCAGGGAAGGGTCCCACCGCGGGGTGGCCAGACTCGCCCCAGCGCCCCTCCCCGCCCCGCAGCCGCGCCCCCGCCGCCCGTGCTGCGTGTCCAGGAAGCTTCAGCCCAGGTCCTGCGCCCCGGCGTGAGCCTCCGCCCCAAATGCGCGGCGCCCCTGGGCGGCGTGGACTTCCAGCTGCGGCGGGGCGAGCAGGAGCTGCTTGTGCCCATGAGCTCCGCCTATCCCGACCGCGTGTCCTTCCACCTGGACGCGCTCGCCCCGGGGGACGGCGGCCTCTACACCTGCCGCTACCGGCTGCGCGACGCTCAGAGAGCCTGGTCCTGGTCCGGGGACAGCGCGCCCGTCGAGCTGCTGCTGAGCGATGGTGAGCCCTGTGCGGGGGACGAGGGGCGCGAGGGGGGCCCGCAGGGGGGCCTAGAAGTGCAGGCTCTGGGTCGAAGTCCAGTCCCGACTCACCCGCCCGGCCTCAGTTTCTCCAACCGAGAAGGGGACAATGAGCAGCAACCTCAAGGCCCCACGAGGAATAATTGGGTCAACAGACAAGTCTGGTACAAGCCATGCAGGCGCCTCCAGCCCGGGGTCCCCTCCAGCCCCCGGGTACGTGCCGAGGGCGGCCTGTCCTGGGGCTGCAGGCCCCGCCGAGGACGCGGACGGCGCGTCGACCCCAGGCGAGGACCCTCCGAGCGCACGCCCCAGGATCGATGACAAAACACGACCCCTCCCCCCGTCTGTCTTTATAGAGAAACAAGTTAATAAGGAACAGTGTAGGCTGGGTGGGAGAGGAGGCAGCGGGACGAGGGCGGGCGCCGGGCCAGGCCCCCTCGCGCCGGGTCAGCGGCGTCCTCCCCGCAGAGACGCTCCCGGCACCCGAGCTGAGCGCGGAGCCTGCGACCCCGGACCCCGCGGCCGGCGCGCGGGTGCAGCTGCGGTGCCGGGCCCCGCGGGCCGGCCTGCGCTTCGCCCTGGTGCGCGAGGACGCGGGCGGGCGCCGGGCCCTGCAGCTCCTGAGCCCCGCGGGGCCCGAAGCCACCTTCGAGCTGAACGACGTCTCGCTGCTGGACTCGGCCAACTACAGCTGCGTCTACGCGGACCGCGCGCCGCCCTTTGCGGGCTCCGCGCCCAGCAAGGCCGTGGAGCTGCGCGTGCGCGGTGAGCGGCTCCCCCCACCCCGCACCGCACCCCGCACCGCACCCCGCCCCGTGTCTCCCCTAGGTCCCCGCGGGGCGAGTCCCGCCCCCAGGCCGCGGTGGGCGGTGCCCTCGGCCGGGAGCCTGTCCCCTAGCTCGTCTTCCGCCGGGTCCTGAGGCCCTGAGTGCCAGGCGCCGGGCCCCGGGGTCCCCGCAACATCCTGGGGAGAGAGGTGGCGCGGAGTCGGGCGCAGTGGCCGCGTGGGAGGGCGGCGGCCCTGACCGCCCGGCGCTCCGCCAGGACCCCCGCCCAGGCCGCAGCTCCGGGCTCTGTGGAGCGGGGCGGTGACCCCGGGCCGCGACGCCACCCTGCGCTGCGAGGGCCAGATGCCCGACGTCACCTTCGAGCTGCTGCGCGTGGGCGACACGGAGGCGTCCGCGGTGGCCCGGGCCCAGCACCGCCACTGGGCCGACCTGGTGCTGAGCTACGTGGGGCCGCAGCACGCCGGCAAATACAGCTGCCGCTACCGCGCCTGGCGGCCCACCGCCTTCCAGTCCGAGCTCAGCGACCCTGTGGAGCTCCAGGTGGCCGGTGAGGTCCCACTGGGTTCGTCCTCCCGCTTGGCCGGCTTGTGCCCCTCCGCCGGGCACACCTGCCTCGCCTGCCGTGGTGCGAGGGTCTTGGCTGGCAGGTGACCAAGCCATTTCCCTGAGGGGCCTCAATGAGGTCTGCCCTGATTTCACCAGGGAGGAGCACACGGGATACCTGCTTAACCTTCTCTTTTGTCGAATTTGTCTAGGAAGTTGATCCAGCTGCGACACGGGCTGCTGATGGGGTCCTTGGGAAGTACTTTCTCCAGTCTGGGTCACATCCCTCTTGCTGCAGCTGGAGGCTGGATTCCCTCTCAGGGGCTGGAGGGCTCTCTCTCATTCCTCCCAGGAATTAATAAATGTGAAGAGAACCTTTAAAACGTGTCCTTGGCCTTTGGTGGCTCCCATGCAGGGGGGCTGGACTCCCAAGGCTGAGGGAAATGGGCTGGGATCCTGTGTGCCCAAGGTGGACATGCTCTGGGTTGGATCCTGAGGGAAGAGGGGCTGAGGATTGAGGATTGGCTCCTGGGCCCACATTTTTCAAGACCCCCTTCTTCCATCAAGCTGCCTCCCACTCCCCAGACACCTCTGCAGGGTCCCCAGCAGGTGTGGGTAGGTAGCTTGAGGCTCCAGACATTTTTTTTTTTTTGAGCATACAAACTACAGCCAGGCCTTAGTGCACAAAATGCAAGCTCAAAGGAGCATAAAGGAGGACCAGGAGGAGACAGAGTCCAGACCCACGGAGGCGGGAGTGGGCCCTGGTGGCCCAGCCAACGCAGCCCCCTCCACCACCTGGACAGATGTTCCTTGCAAGGCAGGACCTCGCATTGGGAGGCAGGGTCCCAGCTCCAGGACTGCTTGGCTACACTCACTGGGAACCTCAGGCGAGTGACCTGCCCACTCTGGCCTGTGACCGAGGGGTGGAGGGCCCTTTCACATCTGTGCTACTGTAGGGCCAGCCCAACACCTACCAGCTAGTTTCCTCACAGGGTGGAGGTGCGACCTTTTGACCCCAGCCACCCCCTCTCCTGCAGCGAGGAAACCCAGTCAGTGAGGCCCCTGTGCGAGGCAGGAGGGCTGGGCAGAAGTGACCCCAGAGGCCCACTGCTGTCAGTCTAGCTAGGGGCTTATCAATTTTATTAATCTTTTCAAAGAACTAAATAACTTTTGGCTTTGCTCATTTTTTCTCCTTTCTTTTTTGTGGATCTCTACTTGGACCATTACTATTCGCTTCCTTCTACTTCTGAATTAATTTGTTCTTTTTCACTTTCTTCAGGTGGAAACTTAGATCATTGCTTTTTTGGGGCAAACATCAGTAACAGCTTAAATTAGGCTTAAAAATAGGCTTCTATTGTTTAAATCATAGGAAATTACTTCTTTGTGGATAAAAATTGTCAAACATTAGCAACTTCATCAATTACATCCAGTTGGTTGATGGTGTTGCTCAGTTCTGTATCCTTACTGATTTTCTGTCTCCTTGTTCTATTCATTCTAGAGAGGGGGGTGTTGAAGTCTCCAACTATAACTGCAAATCTGTGTATTATTTCCTTTCAGCTGTATCAGTTTTTGCTCCCTGTATTTTAAGGCTCTGTTGTTAGGAGCATACATATTTGAAACTGTTATGGCCTCTTGGTGAATTGACCCTCTCTCAGTATGTATTGCCCCTCTTTATCCTGGTAGTTTTCCTTGTTCTGAAGTCTACTTGGTATGATATCATACAGTTGCTCCAGCATTCCTTGATTAGTTTTTGTATTCTATATCTTTCTTCACCCTTTTACTTTAAACTTACCTATATTGTTATATTTAAAGTGGGTTTCTTATTTTTTAAAAATTCATTCTGGAAAACTCTTTTAACTGGTGTATTTAGACCATTTACATGTAATAGAGTTATTGATATGTTTGGATTTGGGTCTACCTCCTTCCGTTTTCTATTTGTTCCTTCTGTGATCCCTGTTTCCCTTTTCCTGCCTTCTTTTGGGCTATTTAAATATTTTGTGGGTTCCATTTTATTTCATCTATTGAATTTTTTATCATCTCTTTGTATAGTTTTTTTTTAGTGATTTCTTTAAGGATTACAATATGTGTACTTAACTCTTCACAGTCTACCTAGAATTAATTTTACCACTTGAAGTGGAAAGGAGAAGCGGTGTTACTACACAGACCTTCTTACCCTGCCCTCTTTTTTTTTTTTTTTAAAGATTTTATTTTTCCTTTTTCTCCCAAAGACCCCCGGTACGTAGTTGTGTAATTTTAGCTGTGGGTCCTTCTAGATATGGCATGTGGGATGCCGCCTCAGCATGGCTTGATGAGGAGTGCCATGTCCGCACCCAGGATTCGAACCGGTGAAATCCCGGGCCTCCGAAGCAGAGCGCGTGAACTTAACCACTCGGCCACGGGGCCGGCCCCTCCTGCCCTCTTTTTAAAACAAATTTTATTTAGTACACTAATGGTTCTTCTTTGAGGTATAAGTTATATACAGTAAAAAGTACAAATCTCAAATACATCACTGACTGAATTTTCATGCTCTCTCCTCTTTGCCTTGTAGTTCTCGCATACACATCAATGTGGGTGAAAACCCTTCCTGACAATGTTACCAGTTTTGCTCTCAACAGCCATACATATGCTAAAGATCAAATATCTGAAATCTGTTACTCTTTCTTCCTTCTCGAAGTTTCAGTTTTCCTTATGTGATCATTTCCCTTCCAGCAAAATAACTCCCTGCAGCATTTCTTTTAGAGCAGGCCTGCTGGCAACAGACTGTCTTAGTTTTGCTCCATTTGAGAACGTTTTGATTTTGCTTTCATTCTTCAAGTGTATTTTTATTGGATAAAGAATTCTGGATTGACAGCTCCTTTTTTCTGCCTTTAAAAATGTCGTTTCTCTGTTTTCTGGCCTTCTTGATTTCTGATGAGAAACCCATGATCTTTTGTATCCATCTGTATGCAATGCATAGTTTTTCTCTGGCTGTTTTCAAAAATTTTAAATTTGTTTTCAGTTTCCAACAGTTCGGTTATGATATGTCTGGGCATGGATTTCTTTGGGATTACGCTGTTTTGGGTTCACTGAGCTTTCCAAACCTGTAAGTTTATACCTGTTGGCAAATTTGGATAATTTCCAGCCATTATTTCCTAAATATTCTCTCTGCTGTCATCACAAAGAATGTGGCAGCATTTCTAGCCACACTTATGGTTCCATCAGTTTCTCACTGTGATTCTGTCCCATAATAAGGCTCTTGTGACCTATCTGGTTTAAAATATTACATCTTCCTAATGCATTGTTCCTTTTATAAAAATAGAGTGATCTTCTGACCTTAATAATGCTTTTCTGCATTAACATCTGTTTTGTCTGAATTTAACACAGCTCCATTGGCTTCTGCCAGCCTCGTGCCTGCCCCATACATCCTTTCCTCTTCCTCTACCCTCAGCTTTTCCACTTAGAGGAGCAGAGCAGAGGGGTGTCTCTTCTAAAGAGCACGTGTCTGGATGTGAAAGAAATTCCGTCTGCTGGTGTTTGTCCTCCCTGGTTTGTGAGAGCACTAGAGCTTTGAAATTGCTGGCGTATTTGGATGTGCTCTCGAATCTGGCGGTGTAAACTGGGCTGGACACCTACACCCTCTGACCCCTCGTCCTCTCCTCTATCAAACGGGATGGTTGAGCTGCCCTCAGTGTTGTGTGAGGATTAAATGAGATGACATATATAAATTATTCGGCAGACTGGCCAACACATGTAGGCCCTTAATAAAGATTCCTTTTTTCCCCTGACCCTGTCCCCCTTTAGACCGACATGGGCAGACACGGACCTCACAACAAAGCGGGTGCCGGGGATGCTCAGAGCACCAGGGGGAGGGAGATTCAGCTCCTCAGGGACAGAGACGGGGAGAGTAGGGGCAGAGAGAGGTGGAGGCGTATGCTACAGGTCAGAGCCAGTGGCCAGGCCCGGGGTCAGTGCTGTACAAAGCACGTCTTACGATTCCACTTTATAGGCGAGCAGCCACCGAGGTTTGAGGAAGTCACTTATCCATGGTCCCAAAAGCAGCACCGGGAGGAGTGGGGCTCTGCGGCCTGACCTTAGGCCCACGTCTTTTCCGCCCCCTGCAGCCTGTCAGAGGCCTGTGCGATAACTTCCCTGGGAACGGGTGCCTGTTGTCGCTGTTTTTCCCTGTCTGTTGACTTTTCGCTCAGTCTCCCCTCGGCGGTACCTGTGTTTGGATGTTTCTGGGACTCTCAGAGACCCTGACACCAGACCTGTCTCCCTGGCTCTCAACCTTCCTGTTCTCTTTTTTTTTTTTTTTTGAGGAAGATTAGCCCTGAGCTAACTGCTGCCAATCGTCCTCTTTCCGCTGAGGAAGACTGGCCTTGAGCTAACATCCATGCCCATCTTCCTCAACTTTATATGTGGGATGCCTACTACAGCATGGCGTGCCAAATGGTGCCATGTCCGCACCTGGGATCCGAACTGGCGAACCCTAGGCCGCCGAAGTGGAACGTTTGCACTTAACCGCTGTGCCACCGGGCCGGCCCCAGAACCTTCCTGTTCTCAACCTCACTTCTCTTTCGGTCTTTGTGTCTCTGTTTACTCAAGACACAGAGGGAATGACTCCAAGACACAGGAAAAAGACAGGGAGAGAAGGTGGCGATGACTGTGCACAACAGTGTGGTGGGTCAGATGGCTCACATGCGATGGGATCATCAGAGACACAGAGAAAGAAGACTGATGCCCTGACAGTTAGGCACAGAGGCTGTGACCTCCAGTTACAGACATGGACCCTGAAAGAGGAACAGGGATACAGAACTGTGAGGGAAGGCCAGGGAGCACGTTGACAGGACGCTGGCAACCACTGCGCCCACGGCACCAGGGGATCCTGGGGCGACAGAAAGGGTGGACTCAGTACAATAGCGTTTTATTGAGGCCACTGCAGGCCAGGTTTGTCTAAGTGCTGGGGCCCTGAGGAAATCAGACCATCCCAGCCCTGCAGGGCCCACAGTTGGCAAGGAGACAGTGCAGGGTGGAGCATGGTGGCTGCCTCTGGGAAGGTACCACAGTGCATTCGTTCAACAGACAGGGGTCAGGGCCTATTGCATCCTGTGTGCTGTGGATGCTGAGAATAAGACATGGCCCCTGCTCGTGGAAGCTCCCAGTGTCCTTGGGAAGCAGACTGTGAGCTCTGCAGGGAGTAAACACAACATGGCAGGAGGCGTGAGCAAGGTAAGGAGGTAACGCTCTGGAGCAGAGGCAGGCTGAAGTTGGCTTGAGGAGGTGGGTACACTTTGGGGAGGAGATTTGAAACATCTTGGAGGAAAGCGGAGGGGAGGATTCCAGGCACAGGTAAGAAGGCACATAGGCAGGAAACAGTATGGCTTCTTCAGGAACCACATGCAGTTCCACGTGGCTGGTGGAGGGAAAGTAGGACCATGCAGGGAGGTGAGGCCAGGCACCATGTCACGAGCGATCATGAATGGCAGGGGAATATCCCAGGGGGCAGTACTTTGAAACCATGTTCATGTCACTGCACACCCAGAGAAATGACAATATTCATATGCACATATGAGGGTCACTGGAGAGGTTGCTTGGGGCCCAAAGCACCTTAGATCTTGGCAGACTTGTAACCCACTCAGGAATCTCTGCTGTAGGAGGTGACGCATCAGAGAGCCTTCCACTGTGGAGTGACACTATCAGATTTGAGTTGTAAAAAGAGTCTCCTGGAGGCCAGTGTGGAGAATGAAACAGCAGAGGGTGGGGAGTGGAGAATGAAGGCAGAAAGGGGTCAGGGAGGAGACTCCTGCGGGAATCCAGATGTGAGGCAATGAGGGCTCACATAAGCTCACGATAGTGAAGAAGATGGACTAGAGGTGAGTTTTAGGTAAAACCAACAGGGCTGATGATTCATGGGATGTCGAAGGAGGCAGGAGGGAGCAACGGAGGCCGCACAAGTGTCAAGCAGTGCCTTCACTTGAGACAGGGAGAACGTGAGAGACTGTGGGTCTGGAGAAGGCCTCACAGAAGAGACAGACCCACAAATCGGCCTTGGAGTCAGACATGAACAGGGGGAGTGAAAGAGGAGCTGTGAAGGCACAGAGGTGGGCGTGGGCAGGCATCCCTCCTGCGCTGAGCAGGAGAGGAACAGGCAAGAGCAGCCACATGGCAATGTGAAGCTGGAGCCCCTTTTCCCAGAGCATCTTGGGACCACAGAGTCCTGATAGAAACTTCATTCCGACTGGCCCTGCTCTGAGGCCTCCATCCGAGTCCTCAAAGGCAGAGTTGTTCCCAGACAGCCCCAGAGTCTGCCCTTAAGCACCTTATCATTTTGGAGGACTCACCGATCACCCACCCTATTCCTCTGGGCTCTTTCGGAAGCGAGGGCTCCTCTCAGGTGTTGAGCCTCCACGGGAGGCTGTGCTGTGTCCCAGGGGCTCTCCAGTCACGGCAGCACCATGATGTGGATCCTCAGGTGGACCATGAGGGCCGAGCTGCGGCTGAAGGCCTTCCCGCAGTCGCGGCACTTGTACGGCTTCTCACCCGTGTGGGTCCTCTGGTGCTCGATGAGGGAGGAGCTCTGCGCAAAGGCCTTCGGACAAACCTGGCACTGATACGGCTTCTCTCCAGAGTGGATTCTCAGATGGCGGATAAGGGCCGAGCAGTCACTGAAGGCTCTCCCACAGGCATCGCACTTGTAGGGCTTCTCCCCCGTGTGGATGCGCTGGTGCTGGGTCAGGTGGGTGCTCTGGCTGAAGGCCTTGCCGCACTCATCACACTCGTAGGGCCGCTCCCCTGTGTGTACCCGCTGGTGCTGGGTGAGGTGGGTGCTTCGGCTGAAGGTTTTGCCACATTCCCCACATTTGTAGGGCTTCTCCCCAGTGTGGATCCTCTGGTGCTGGGTCAGGTGGGTGACCCGGCTGAAGGCCCTCCCGCACTCCTTACACTCGTGGGGCTTTGCCCCCGTGTGGACGACCTGGTGCTGGGCCAGGTGAGTGCTCCGGCTGAAGGCTTTGCCACACTCGCCACAGGTGTAGGGTGTCTTCCGAAAATGGCTCTTCCGGTGTGCCTCAAGGGCCGAGGGGCTCCGGAACAGTTTCCCACACCTGCCACACTTGGAGGACTTCCTCCCTGAGTCCGTGCATGGAGGCGCTGTCTTACAGCCATCCGATGGATCGAATTTCTCTTCTGAAGGAGTCTTCTCTTGTGAAGTGAAGTCTGGCCACCTGTCGGGACTGTTCTCCAAGGCACCAGATTCACAGCTGGGTTGGTCTGTGGGGGTGTCCATGTGATGCCCTGAGGTTTCCCTGAAATCCATCTTGTGGGCAACTGACTTCGTCCAGACCTCCCCTGAGAGTCCTGCCCGCCTCTCGGAGCTGCTCTCAGCTTCGCAGGCATCACCAAAGACGGGTCCCAGGGAGTCACTGCCCACAAGGGTTTCGGTGGCCCTGTCTGACGCCTCTGACTCTTCCAAATCGCTCTGCTTGCAGCTGGCCTCGGAGAGCTCAGCTCCAGGCTCCTGTCCTGAAACGACCCGAACCACAGCATCAGCACTCCTTCCCGCCCAGGCCACCCCTACTCTGCCAGGGGTCTGGCCTCACTCTGCATGGGGAGACGTGGCCACTCCTGACATTTGGCCCCATTTCCAAAGGAAAGTTTCTCATCTGGGGTCTTAGATGACAAAAGCACACAGGGCTGTCCTCCCACAGCATCAAAAACTGCATCACAGTTTCCGATCCGTGCCCCCTTCCCCCAAAACTCTCCATTCTCCAAAGCTCCTGATCTTGGCTCAAGCGTCAGAAGGAAAACCCTGAGGTTCAACTGAGCTGAAAGCGCGCGAGGCGCGAGGGGTCGGACAGCCGGGCGCCTGCGCACTTGCTCCCAGTGCAGCAGGGTGGCTCCGTCACCCCCGCCCCGCCCTCCAGGCCACGGGGGCAGGTGCTCAGCCGGTACTGGCTGCATGAGGGGTCCTCCTGGGGGCCGGCGTGGGGACATTTCCCACAGTAGACTCTATCTTGAACCCCGAGTAGACAACTGCCACTGCGGCAAGTGGCTGAAGCGCTCCCCCGCCCTGGCCTCCCGGAGCCCCGCTCTTCAGCAGGTGCTGTGCCGACTGATTGGGCTCTGGGCTGCCGGAGCCACGTCGCGTAGAGGGTAGAGGCCTGCCCACCCCTTGATGGCGCACGGGCACGGGGGATGTGCAATCCTCATCGTTTGTGGGACAGATCTGGAAGGGGGGAGGGGCGGGATGACTGCCGCCCAAGTCCACAGTGCGCCCCCCTCCAGGGCCCTGGGCAATCTTGCCCTCCTCTGGGCCTCAGTTTCCCCATCTGTAGGAGAGGGATGCTATACTGCTCGCCTCCCAGGGCTGCTGGCCATCTTATCAGGCTCTTATCCTGTGCTTGGCTCCAGTGCAGCAGGTAACTTTTGTTGCCTCATTTCAGCTTCACGATGCTCTCAGGAGGCACAGCCACGACTGCACTTCAGACAAGGAAACTGAGACCCAGCTGAGGGAGGGTCTCGAGTAACTGGTACAAAATCACATGATTAGCTCAGAGAGGTTGAGGAACCTGTACAAGATCACACAGTTAATTTGGTGGCCACGTTGGGATTTCAGCTCTAGCATCTCCTCCTCCTTGAGGTCCATAGTCTCCCCTCACTCCCCATCCTCCCCAGCCCCATGCTGGGCCCTGCCTCCCCCTTTCTTCCTCTATTCCAGAAAGATCCTACCCCCTTCTCTTCCCAGAATGCACTGGTACATATCACACCACCAGGCCCTGGCCCCACCATTCCCTCTGCCCGGACCACAGGCTCGCTCTTGTCATTTCAGCACTGTTTTCCCTTTTCTCTGAAGACTTTGTTGACCCTACAGGAGGATAGGACCACTCCCTCCCTCCCCAACCCTGTGACATGGGCCTGGGTGTAGCTGACGGGGCCAAGGGAGGGCACCTGACCAACCTCTTCCAGAAAGGTCTGTTTCTCAAGGAGCTGGACAAATTGTCCTAACAGCTACTGTTACTGCATGTCACTCTGTGCCAGGCAGCGTCCCACATGCTGCACAACTACTGCCTCGTTTATACCCCTCAGTGACACTGAGGTGCGTACTGCAGCACAGTCCCCATTACTGACAGGGAAACTGTGGCACAGAGAGTCACATGGCCAGGAGGAGGCAGAGTGGTGGCTGCATCTCCCAGGGCTCAAGGATTCCTGCGTCTCCAGACTTCATGTTCCTCTAGCCCACACCTCCCTGGCACCTGGCACACCCATCCCCACTCGCACCCCTGCTACCGTCAGGCTGGGCCCTTCTGGGAGAAGGCTTCACTCCTGCCTTACTATCCCAGGGCTGGGTCCTCCCTGTGTCCCATGGGACCTCCCCAGGCTGGGACATCTGTGTGGGTCTCACGACAGTGCCCACCCCAGCCTGGGGCAGGTCTGACCCACCCAGATCCTGAAGGCCAGCATGGAGAGGGCTCAGAGGGGGTGCATGGGGACACCTGGCGTCTCTGTCCCCACCCCACCTCAGGCATCTGGCCCCCTCATCTGATTCCAGCAGCTTCATTTTCCTTTGGGGAACTGCCCTTGCTCATGTCAGTCCTTGGGATGTGGACAGCCAAAGATAAGCACAAGACCCGGCCAGTTCAGGGGGCTCAGCCCAGGGGCCTTTCGCTGTTGTCCCCCTGGTGTTTCTACATTGTAAGACACAAGCCTGGCATTGCTGGACCAACTTTGTCCCCTTTGGAGAGAGAAGCTACCTAAGAACAAAGCTAATATAGGAAAGCCCAGTTCCCTGACGACAGAGTCCTGATGCTTTCCACCAGGCTCCAGGATACAGTCAAGAAGCCTCCCGACTCGCTTAGGTCAGTTTGAGCTGGGCTTTTGGTCTTTAGCAATCAGAACAGATCTGTTTAGCATGGCATGTAAGAGTTTGGGTGAGGTACAGATGTGAGAACAAGGGTGTGAGTGACCCCAAACTCAAACCCTGCACCCCCATGTTCCAGTCCAGGCTCTGCCCCAGTGTGCTGGGAACACCCACCCGTCGCTCTCCCTCACCTCTCTTGTCCAGTGCCTGAGTCAGATCCTCCACCAGCACGGCAGCCTCCTCGCCGCTCTTGGGACACTGGGCCCCCACCCAGGACTGAATCTTGGGGGGCAGTACGCCCAGGAACTGCTCCAGCACCAGCAGCTCCAGCATCTGCTCCTTGGAGTGCGCCTCAGGCTGCAGCCACTGGCGGCACAGTATGCGGAGCTGGGCCAGGGCCTCGTGTGGGTTGGATGCTTCCTCATAGCAGAAGTGCCGGAAGCGCAGACGTGCAGCCTCCGGGTGGGCAGTGTGGCCAAGGCTGGGTTCCTGGAGCTGGGAGAGGATAGCCTCCTCGTCCTCCACCTTCACTTGTAGGAAGCCATCCTGTTCCCAGGGCACGGGGTTCAGGGGGCTCTTGGGGATGGCCATCGGGCAGCAGCACCCCAGTGAGACACGAGATGACTGGAGCCTTGAAACTGGGTCTGCAGGAAGGTCAGAACTTTGTCATCGTGCGGAACTTGGGGCCCCGCCTCACACCTGCTGAGCAGGGCAGATGTGGGCTTGGGGCCTGTGAGATGTGACTCCCTCTCACAGAGACACAGGGGACCAAAGTAATGAGGACGGCGCCCACTCGTGTGGAGCACTGTTCTAAAGGCTCACATATAGGAACTCATTTAAAATTCACAACAGACTCGGGAGGGGGGAACTTTCTTTCCATTTTTTGCATATGAAAACAGACACAGAGGAGGCAAACATGCCCAGAGTTTCCCAGATAGTGAACAGATGAGCAGTTGCTGAGCTGCAAACCCAGGCAGTCTGACCCCATGGCCGGTCGGCTTGAGGCGAGCTCCCCCAACAGAGCCGGCTCTCTCCCGCTCACACGTGCCGGGGGGGAGCCGCACGGTCACTCACTCACTTTATTTGCTAACTATTTTGTAGCTTTTGAGATGGGTACTTAGATGAGTGACTTTCAGCCTTTCTTCTTTTCTAGTACATATATTTAAGGGTAAAAATTTCCCTCGACACAGCTTCACAAGTGTGATGTTGCATCTTCATTATCATTTACTTTAAAATATTTTCTAATTTCTGTTGTGGTTTCTTCCTGACTCATGGATTATTTAGAACTCTGCTGCTTCATTTCCAAAAAATTTGTAGTTTTCTAGTTATCTTATTATTGATTTCCAGATTAAGTCTGTTGTGCTCAGAAAATGTGCACTGGTCAATTTCAATCCTTTGAAATTTGCTGAGACTTGGTTTGTGACCCAATGTATGGTTAATTTTGGTCAACGTTCCACATACACTTAAAAATAATGCAAAGCTTTCTTAGATAAGTAACAAACAATAAAAGAGATAAACTGAACTTCATCAAAATTAAAAACTTTTGTGATTTGAAGGACACCATCAAGAAAGTGAAAAGGCAACCCATAGAATGGTAGAAAATATTTGCAAATCGTATATCTGGTAAGAGACCTATATGTAGAACAACTCCATAATAAAAAGAAAATCCAATTAAAGAATGAGCAGGGGCTGGCCCCGTGGCCGAGTGGTTAAGTTCGAGCACTCCGCTGCAGGCGGCCCAGTGTTTCGCTGGTTCGAATCCTGGGCACGGACATGGCACTGCCCATCAAACCATGCTGAGGCAGCGTCCCACATGCCACAACTAGAAGGACCCACAATGAAGAATATACAACTATGTACTGGGGGGCTTTGGGGAGAAAAAGGAAAAAAACAAAAATCTTTAAACAAACAAAAAAGAATGAGCAAAGGATTTGAATATACATTTCTCCAAAGAAGATATTCAAATGGCCAACAAGCACATGAAAAGATGCTCAACATCTTTAGCTACCAGAGAAATGTCAATCAAAACCACAGTAAGACAGCATTTTACACCTGCTAGGACAGCTATAATCAAAAAGACAGATAACAAGTGTTGGCTCTTGAGCCACGGCCTTGGGCACAGGGAGAAGTGAGTTAGTAAAATAAGACCACAACTTGCAGTTAAGCTGCGTTCTAGCTCCTAACTCCACCGTAAAGCTCACTGGAGCCTCTCATCACCTTGCCTTGCTATTATCCCCATGCCTCTCAGCCTTTGTCCCTTTTATTCTCCTGTCCTAAAATCCCTCTCTGCACCTGACTAATTTCTTCTAGTCCACCAGGCCCCACTTCAGTGGCTATCTTCTCCAAGAGCCGTCCCAGCACCTGGGAGTAGGCTATGTATCCTTCCAGGGCCCCGGGGCTCTCTTGCCCCAGCTCCGTGTTGTAACCATGTGTTTCCCCAGAGAGACCAGGCGGCTGGAGCCGCAGTGCCCAGGGCCCGACCCAGAGCAAGTGCACAGCACACAGGTGCTGAGCAAATGGAGGGACCAGGAAAGGCTGGGCATGGTGATCCACAGACATGGGGAATTGTACAGGGGAGGGGAACAAGGGTGGCAGGGACAATAAATGCAGCAACAGCTTCCAAGATCCCTCTGCACCCCTGGAGCCCTGTTCTGGAAAATCCCTGATGACAGTCTCCGAGAAATATGTACGTGGGCCTACCTAGGCCCACCCCCAACATGCCGACCTCACCTCAGGTTGAGGTCCCTGCATCCACGACCACTCAACCAACTGAGCAGAATGGTCCTTCCGTTTCTCACTTCTCACTTGTATCAACCTGCTAACAACACCTACCTCAGGGGGTTGCTGCGAGGTTACCCAAGGCAATCCATGACAGGCGTCCAGTACCAGCCTGGCACACAGAAAGCATGCGGTGAACACCCAATCCAATGCATTCACAGCCCCTGCCAGACTTAAGCCTGCAGGTGCTGGGGGACATATCCACAAACCCAGCTGAGCGACCGCTGGTCACACAATGTCAGCTGCAGACATGGCAAAGCACAAATTTGCTGTCACATACTTGATAAACTCTCTGCAAATGACCCAAACTTTAGTCCCTCTGATAAAACCTCAGTCAATGACATAGTTATACATACACACCCTATCTCAGGCACAGTCTGTCAGCCATACCCCAAAATATACCCAGGCACACACCATTTCTCAGTGTCACTCACGGTCAGTCAAGAAAACACAGGCCTCACAGCATCTCCCTGACACAGTCGTTCATCATCTCTCAGTCACCACCTCGCCCAGTCAGATCCACAGAGCCTCCCAGACACACCCGAATCACACACAGGCATCACCCACCCTCTCACTCCCAATATCACACAACCCACCTACACAGTCTCAAACAACCATCTCCGTCGGCCGCACACTGGGTCGGGTCAGACGCTCATCATGTCATTCGATTACACACTCCCAAGCTGGCAGTCAGAAGCACGCCCGAGATGAGTCAGACACACCATCTATCAGACACGTACACACAACTGGTCAGTCAGTTGGTCCACATTCAATCAGTTAGTTCTACACTTCGTCTGTCCCTCGGTCCCACGCTCTGTCCGTCAGTCCGTCCCACACTAGACCCGTCGGTCCCGCGCTCACAGTCCGTCAGTCGGTCAATGCGCGGTTCGTCGTCAGCCCCTCACTCTCCGTCCGCGGGTCGGTCCTGTGCATCTCCCACCGGCCACCGCACCGTCGCGGCTTCCGCGCCTGCAGTGTTTCTCTCCCGCCCCAATCCCGGCGGGACCCACCCAGACCCACCTCGCCCCAGCAGCGGGCGGACACTTCCGGGAGCGGACTCGGAGGTGCGGGAATGACCAACCCACCCGCGCGCCCGCTCACCGGTACCACAACTCCCATGATGCGCCGCGCTGCTCACTCGGCGCGCCTGCCCGCAGAGACCACAACTCCCAGCATGTCCCGCGTTTCACGCTCCACGGCCAGTGCGCCCCTCCTCTGGACTACAATTCCCAGAAGGCACCGCCCCCCAACCCCATACCTCGCCCACCACCCCCACCCCGCCCCGAGCATCCGGTGGTACGCCGGGAGTTGTAGTCCGGGCGGGCGCACGGGCTGTGGGGACTGTGGCCTGGTCTTTGTGGGGCAGTGGTGGCGGTGAGTGGACGCTGCAGCCGGAGGGTGGGCGGGAGGCAGAATTGTGCATGATGCGTGGGGGTGAGGGGTGTGTGAGGGGGTGCGGCCTGAGGGTGCTGGTGTGAGGGGTGTCAATGCTGTGTGAGGAATGTGGGTGCCGGTGTGAGGGGGTAAGGTGGGTGCCGGCGTGAGGGAGCGAGGGATGTGGGTGCCAGGGTGAGGAGGTGAGGGGTGCGGATGCCGGGATGAGGGGATGGGAGGGTGTGTGAGGGGTGCAGGTGCTGGAGTGAGAGGGTGAGAGGTGCGGGTGCTGAGGTGAGGGGTGCGCGTACTGGGGTGACGGTGAGGGGTGCAGGTGCCTGGGTGAGGGGGTGAGAGGTGGGGGTGGCGGTGTGAGGGGGTGAGGGGTGCGGGTGCCTGGGTGAGGGGTGCGGGTGGCGATGTGAGGGCGGGAGGGGTGCAGGTGCCCAAGTGAGGGGGTGAGGGGTGTGTATTATGTGTGTAATGTGTGTGGCTCACTGACCGTGTACAGGTGATTCCACATGTCTATCGAGTGTGACTGTATGTGACCTGGAGGTTGGGCTGCGTGTGTCAGTCTGTGACCACCTGTGTGTGTGAAATCTGCGTGTCAGTCACCATACATGATAATGGTGTAGCCGTGTGTGGCTGTCTAATGTATGAGAGTGTCTGTGAGACAGGGACATGGAGGTGATGGGGAGCGGCTGGTACAGCATGGAGGTCTCAGACTCTGTGATTATACTGTATCTTGCTACAGTGACTGTGATTGTGATGATGGGTGGGATCGTGTGACACAGTGGATGCCAGGATGTGTGATTGTGAGAACATGTCCTCTGTGTGTGCATATGGGTGTGTGAGAGTCTCCAAGCAGGAGAGTCTGGTTGGGGGTCCAGGACAGGGAGGGTGGTGGCCCAGGCTGCATGCAGGTGTGGCCCAGAGGGAGGAGGTGCCGTGGGGGCCTGGCCCGTGCCTCAGCCTGTGACCATGTCCCCTGCAGCTCCTCAGACACTTTCCTGCAGCCAGAATGAGTATGTTTTGTCTTCCTTCCACAGATCTGTACTGAGCACCCAGTGTGGGCCTGCGCTGTTCCAGATCAGATTCTGCAGCGAGGAGGACAGGCATGGCCGGCCTCCGTGGAGCCAATGTTGTATGAGGAGGCAGATGGTTATCAAAGGAACAAGCCAGTTCCCTAAGGAGCTGGCATCCTAGCTGAACAGAGGGAAGGACTCAGGGAGAATGTTTCAGGTATACAGAGCACAAATTCCAAGGCCCTGAGGTGGCTACAGGCAAGGAAACCCAGCTGGAGTTCATTGAGGGAAGAAGATGGGAGAGGACAGGGTCAGAAAGGGGAGGCCTGTGGGGGCAGATCTTGCAGGGCTTATAGGCCAAGTATGGACTTGGACTTCTACCCTGAGAGAGGTGGGAGCCATGGGAGGCCTTTGAGCAGTGGACAGCTCTTTATAGGACTCCTCTAGCTGTTACAGGGGAAGACTGTTGGGATGAGGGTAAAGGCAGGGAGACCCAGGAGGTGAATGCTGCTGGAGTCCTGGTGAGCGGAGCAGGGCAGATCTGGGTGGTGGAGGTAGAGGTAGAGGTGCTGGTAAGTAGTCAAATATGGATCTGTTTTAAAGGTGGAGCTGACAGGGTTGATGGGTTGAGCTGCAGTCCAAGGGGAGAGCAAGGCTGGCCTGGAGCCTGAAGGTAGATCACGATCACCACGGGTATATTAGTTCTCTAGGGCTGCCATAACAAAATACCACAGACTGGAGCTTAAACAGCAGATGTTTATTCTCACAGTTCTGGAGGCTGGAAGTCCAAGGTCAAGGTGTCGGCAGTTTTGGTTTCTCCTGAGGTCTCTCTCCTTGGTTTGTAGGATAGCTGCCTTCTTGTTGTGTCCTCACATAGCCTTTCCTCGTTGTGAGCATGCCCCTGGTGTCGCTCCCTCTTCTTATGAGGACACCAGTCCCGTTGGGTTAGGGCCCATCTATGTGACCTCATTTAATCCTAAATACCTCTTTAAAGGCCATATCTACAAATACAGTCATATTCTGAGAGGTACTGGGGGTTAGGATGTTAACATATGAATTTGAGGGCACACAATTCAGTCCATAATGGGGTGAAAGGGCATTAGTGTGAGTGTGGGGATATTGTCTGGAAGTCTCTAGAGGAGGAGAGGGGAGAGAGAGGGCAGCAGCTGGAGGAGACTCAGGTGCCAGGGAGAGCAAGAAGGAAGAGCTGGATTGACAGTTAACAGGTATGGGATGACTTGGAAAGTCGGTGGAGGCTTTTGTTAGTGCCTTCTTCTCTGCCCAGATTGTGAGTCTGTGCTCTTAGCACTGGGAGGAGTCCTGGCCTCTCCATAGCCTGAGGCTGGGGCATCCATGGTGCTTAGCACAGGGCCAGGCACCAAGAAAAGTTTGCTGAAAAATGAATGAATGAACAAATGGCAGACCAACAGACTATGCTTGCTCGAGCTGGAGCTGCTCTGCTGGATTCTCACTTACCTCCCACACCCACTGTAGCCCTTCCACTCCCTACCCCAGCCCTCAGAAGGCCCTTTTTGTGCTTATTCTCTGACTCTTCAACCAGTGCTCTAGGCTGCTGGGCTCTCCTGAGTAGACTCCCCGCCCCGCTTCTCTGCCTCGTGTGTCTTTCTCATCCTCTCCCCAGGTTTCAAACCTCATCTTTTTCAGGGAGTCTTCATTTTAATTTGGCAGTTGTATTAGTCAGCTATTGCTCTATAACAAATAGTTACAACAGTTCAGTGGCTCAGAGCTATAAGTGCTTATTTCTCTCATGATTCTGAGGGTTGGCCGATCTGGGATGAGCTCAGCTCCAGGCTCCAAGTTGGGTCCACCTGTGCTGCACTTGTGTTGCAGGGCTCACAGGGCAAATTCATCTCATACTGGTGGCAGAGATGCCAATGGGATTGAGGCCTAGGCTCAGGACTGACGTATTTGCAGTTCCACTCAGATTCTATTGGCCAAAGTAAGTCACAGGGCCACACCCAAAGTCAAGGAAGGGACATCTTTGCTGCCTTTAGTGGGAAAAACCACAAATATGGCCAAGGGTATCTACACAAAGAGGGGTGAAGAATCAAGCCAGTAATTCCATCTGCTTCATTAATCCTTTTGATTTCTTTTCTTCCAGGGTGAAGTCGACAAATCAACATTTGTCATCTTGGTTTTTTTCAGATCAGGGAAAGTGAGCACAGGGCATATCCAAAGACTTGCCACAACCCCTCACGGGGATGGTAATGGAAGTCATCAGAGAAGACATTTCATGGGGCTCTGCCTTCCCAGACTGGTGCTCCTGAGGCCTGCTCAAGGAACCAGAACAGAAGTTCTGCTGGAGATGTGGAGGAACATTTGCTTTTCTGGGAAGAAGATTTAAAGCAACAGTCAGTTCCTGACATGGAAACTCCTAGTGAGGGGAGAGGCTGTGGAGGCAGTGAAGTTGTGAGAAGTGTCAGGATACCTTCCAGCCCTATCAAACAAGAGAGTGTTGCTGTGGAGAAGAAACCGCACATGTTAGTTGCACATGGAGGGAGCTTTGAGCAAGTTCCAGGGCCAGCTGTGTTGTAGGCAGCCTGTGTGAACAGGATACCCTGAAGGTGCAGCTTCTGTGGGAAGAGTTTCAAGCAGCACTTGGCCCTCAGTGTGCACGAAAGGACTCACACGGGGAAAAGCCCTATCCATGCAGCACCTGTGTGAAAGTCTTTTGGTGCTGGTCCAACCTCACTGTGCACCAGAGGATCCACACTGGAGCGAAACCCTACGAATGCCAGGAGTGCGCGAAAGTCTTCATTCAGAACTCCACACTCACACTGCACCAGAGGACCTACACCAGAGAGAAGCCATACAAATGCAGGGAGTGGAGCAAGGCCTTCCAGGGAAGTTCAGACCTGTGGAAACACCAGCAGATTCACACAGGGGAGAAGCACTATGAGTATCAGGAGTGTGGGAAGGCCTTCAGGTGGAGCTCGCCCCACATCTGCCATCAGAGGATGCACAGTGGTGAAAGGCCATATGCGTGTGGCTGGCGCAGCAAGGCCTTCATCCAGAGCTCACAGCTTAGCCAGCACCAGCAGAGTCACATGGGTAAGAAGCCTATGAGTGCCCAGAGTGCAGCAAGGCCTTCAGCCTGAGCACCTACCTTGCTGAGCACTAGTGGATCCACATGGGCGAGAAGCCCTGTGCCTCCCTGGAGTGCGGCAAGGCCTTCATCCAGTGCTAACACCTCAGCCAGCACCAGCGCACCCACACGGGTGAGAAGCCATACATGTGTGTTGAGTGGCAAGGCCTTCCACTACAGTTCATTTCTCCTCCAGCACCAGAAGCTCCACCCCAGGGAATAGCCCTGGTGGCTGTGCTCTCACCATGTCCTATGTCACCTCTCACCATCCTGAAGGCCTGAGGCAGCACATCACCCTCGTCCTGTACCTCACAGGCTCTCATTGCTTCTCTCCCCTATGCTGGGCTTTCCCCCCTCACCTGCTCCTTTTTCCATTTTCTTTCCCTTTAAAAGTTTTTAACATTTTTTTTAGCTGTAATTCACATACCTTAAGTTCATCCTTCTAAAGTGTACAATTCAGTGGTTTTTAGTATAGTCACAAGGTTATGCAACCATCAGCACTGTCTAATTCCAGAACACTTTTATCACCCCAAAAAGAAACTCCATACCCTTTAGCACTCTCTATTCTCCCTGTCCCCCCAGCCCCTGGCACCCAGTCATCTGCTTTCTGCCTCTGTGGATTTGCCTGTTCTAGATATTTTGTGTAAATGATCCCTTTGCATTTTCTGTCCATCAGTAGATACACCCCAGGTGTCCTAATCCAAGGAATCCTTTGCTTTCCCCAACCAACCTCATCTCATCCATCAAACACTGGGCTGGGCTTTGGCCTGTGGGTGGCACTGGTTGCCTTCATTTCCTTGGGTCTTGGGCTTCCTTGTGGGTTTCTGCCTTCTGCTGTCATACTTCTTTTTTTTTTAAAGATTGGCACCTGAGCTAACAACTGTTGCCAATCTCCTTTTTTTTTCTCCCCAAATCTCCCCAGTACATAGTTGTATATTTTTAGTTGTGTGTCCTTCTAGTTGTGGCATGTGGGACACTGCCTCAACATGGCCTAATGAGCGGTGCCATGTCTGCGCCCAGGATCCAAACCCTGGGCTGCTGAAGCGGAGCGTGAGAATTTAACCACTCGGCCACAGGGCCAGCCCCCTGCTGTCACACTTCTGTTGTGGAAGGCAGAGCCCCAAGATGCCCACCCCCAATAATCGCAACAATAAACCAGATCTTCATCGAGCCCCTATTGTGCACCAGGCACTCGCTGGGCAGTGTCTGTTAATCCTGATTGCCAACTCTGCCTGTGACCTTCTCCCTTTCTGCACCACCAAAGCCTTTATCTCTGGCAGCTCCTACTTCCTAGCCCCCAGCTCTGCCCCCTCTGCCAAGCCCAGCTTCACATCACCAATGTCTCCCTGCATATTTGCCTTGACACCTCTCTGCCTCCAAGTAGAACTTGCCTCCCCATCCACCCACCAGTGAAGGGAGCCCCAGATTTTCCTGGTTTCTGTTTTATCACTTTCCAAACCATCATTCTTCCTGTTTTCCAGCTGGTGCAGTTGGCGCTACACAACTGGTCTGGTTTGTATCTAGAAAGGCTGTATTAGTTTCCTATGGCTGCTGTAACGAATTACCACAAATGTCGTGATTTATAACAACAAAAATGTTACATTTCCTGAGGTCAGAAGTCCAAAATGGGTCTCACTGGGCTAACGTGACCACGTTGACAGGGCTGGTTCCTTCCAGGGTTACTTGTAAGGGAGAATCCATTTTCTTGCCTCTTCCACCTTCTAGAGGCTGTCTCCACATTCCTTTTTCTGTTCCCTGCCTCACTGTCATCACATCTTCTCTGACTCTGGCCTTGCTGCCTCTTTCTTTCACTTAAAGACCCTTATGATTACACTGGACCCACCTGGTAATCCAGGATACTCTCCCCATCTGCAAATTCCCTTTTGCATGTAAAGTCACATATTTGCAAGTTCTGAGGATTAAGATGTGGACATCTTTGAGTGTGGAGAGGGGAGGCATTATTCTGCCTATCACAGATCCTAATTTCATTGGTCTAGGATTTGGCCTGGGCATCCAGATTTATAAAAGTATCAAGGCAATTCTAAAGATTTTATTTATTTTATTTTTTTCCTTTTTCTCCCCAAAGCCCCCCGGTACATAGTTGTATATTCTTAGTTGTGGGTCCTTCTAGTTGTGGCATGTGGGACGCCGCCTCAGCGTGGCTTGATGAGCAGTGCCATGTCCGTGCCCGGGATTCGAACTGACGAAACACTGGGCCGCCTGCAGTGGAGCACGCGAACTTAACTACTTGGCCACAGGGCCGGCCCCTGAAGGCAATTCTAATGTGCAGACAAGGCTGAGGACCACTGGCTAAGAAACAGCACGATGCAACAGGAAGCACAGTCTATGGAGAGGGTTCCGGCCCATCTCAGTTCCTAGTCCCACCTCTCACTCTCTTACTTGAGCAAATGACTTCACTTCTCTGGCCCTCTACTTCCTTCTCTGTATCATGGAGATAATAAACCCTCCCCTCTTCACAGCTGATCATGATACCCTCTGCTTCCCCATGTCCATGGTGGGAGGCAAAATTGTGCCTGCTCAGACACAGCCACACGGGCACACAGATGCACAGACATACAGACCCACATAAAGACACACAGACACACAAATACTAAAGTGGTATCCAGGGGGCCGGCCTGGTGGTGCAGTGGTTAAGTTCACAAGCTCTGCTTCTCAGTGGCCCGGGGTTCACCAGTTCGGATCCTGGGTGTGGACATGGCACTGCTTGGCATGCCATGTTGTGGTAGGTGTCCCACATATAAAGTAGAGGAAGATGGGCATGGATGTTAGCTCAGGGCCAGGCTTCCTCAGCAAAAAGAGGAGGACTGGCAGTAGTTAGCTCAGGGCTGATCTTCCTAAAAAATAAATAAATAAATAAATTGGTATCCAGGATATATAAAGAATTCTTACAACTCAACAATAACAAAAAAACAAAACCCAATTTAAAAATGAGCAAAGATTTAGTAGACATTTCTCCAAAGAAAATATACAAATGGCCACTAAGCATATGAGTGGATGCTCAACATCCTTTGTCATCAGGGAAATGGAAATCAAAACCATGCTGTGATGCCACTTCCCACCCAGTAGGATGGCAGTGATCAGAAAGACAGGTAACAGCACGTGTTGGCAGGGATGTGGGAAAATTGAACCCTCATGCATTGCTGGTGGGAATGGAAAATGATGCAGCCACTGTGGTTTAACTTTTTGTTAAACATAAGAGTTACCTTATGACCCAGCAATTGCAAGGAAATGAAAAAATATATCCACACAAAATCTTGTACAGAAATGTTCATAGCAGCATTTTTCATAACAGCCCCAAACTGGAAACAACGCAAATGTCCATCAACTGATGAATGGATAAACAAAATGTGGTCTAGCCATACAATGGAATATTACTTGGTCACAGAAAGGAACTCAGTGCTGATACATGGATGAACTTGAAAACATTATGTTCAAAGCAGCCAGACGCAAAAGGTCACATATTCTAAGATTCCATTTATATGAAATATCCAGGAAAGGCAAATCCATAGAGACAAAGTAGATTAGTGGTTGCCAGAGGCTTAGAGGAGGTGAATAGGGACTGACTGCTAATGGGTATGGGGTTTCTTTTGGGGGTGATGAAGATGTTCTGAAATTAGTGATAATGGTTGTTCATCTTAGTGAATATACTGAAAACCACTGAATTGTACACTTTAGAAGGGTGAACTTATGGTATGTGAATTTTAAATAAAGCTCTTATAAAGAAGCAGACATAGACACACACCTACGGACACACAGAGACAGATACAGAGACACACATACACTCCCACCCAGAGGTAGGCTCCCCCACCGCCCAGCCTCTGCATGGAGGACCCAGCAGCTGCCTCTCAGCCCTGGATTCCATCCCAGAGACCTTAGCACCCCACCACTGTGCAAGTCAGCAGAACCCCACACTCTTGGGGCTCCTTAGTGAGAGGCCCAGATGCTCCCACTGCCAGGTAACTGCCGTGGCATCCTTGGTAAGCTGCCCTGGGAAATGTGTAAGTGTGGGAATGAGTATGTGTGTGTGTTGTTAAAGAAAAAATTACCCAGAGTTAGACAGGAGTTAAAGCAGTAAAAACATTTTATTAAGAAAAACTATTGCAATCGGGGAAAAAGAGACCTCAGTGTAGAACTGGGCTTACCTCTGAATACAGCATGGACAAGTGGGAATTTATAGCCAAGAAGCAGGGTGGGGGTCAATGGGTAGAAGATTACTAAGAGGAAGCCTCAGGGGTGAGGGGATTCTGACAGGATTCTTGCTGAAGGCAGGCCAGAGTGATCAGATATCACCTGGGGGGGTGGGGATGAGGAACTGGAGTAGATAACGAGGGTGATCAGATGTGGAGGATGGGAGAGTCTTGCTAAACTGATTTAAGATTTCTGCTAAAACTGGACTCTAAGGAAGGCCCCAGAAGCCCAGGGTTTGAGGCCTAGTCAAAAAGAGCTCAGAAGAGCCTGACTAGTTTGGTCATGGAGAGAATCTTTGTCAGGGTGCGAGTGTGTGATGGTGTGTGTGTGTGCACCTGTGTGTGTATGATGGCGTATGAGTGCAGACGCACACCCCAGGTCACAGGCTGCAGCCTGCCAGGGAACCACCCCAAGGGGTGAAGTGAGAGCCCTGAGGCCCTGTGGACTCCTCTCGCCTCCTGCCCCAGGACTGTCTGCCTGAGCCCGGACGCCTGCAGGACCCACAGCCTGAGGTCCAGCCTCTGCTTCCTGCCGCCAGTGCCCACAGCTGCCCTGCCCCCCACGCAGGGTCTGGGCAGCGCTCCGCACACTGGCATTTGGTATGAGACACATGGAAGAACGACAGTAAGAGCTAAAGAACTTGAAGGCCCTCTGGCCTTATGGGAGGAATGAACCACCCCAGAAACATCCTCTGGCTAGGCCCCTGCTCCATGTAGCACTATGTCAGCCTCTGTCCTGACCCTCAGGTCAGAAAACCTCAGGTCCTCCCCATCTGAAAGCTCCTGCCCCTACAACTGCGGCCTTCTGCCACGCTCCTGCAGGGTCACCGGCACTTGTCGTCAGCTGCACTCAGTCACTCAACCACAGCCAACCTGTGACCACACCCACCTCCCTCGGGCAGAGGCTGCTTCCTGGCAGAATAACACACTGGACGGGGGCCCTGGTACACGTTTCCTCTACAAGTTAGTATGTTAAATCCTTGCAGGCAGAGACCCTCATCACCACTCCCATTTTACAGACTAGGAAGGTGAGGCACAGAGAAGACCCAGAGCTCAGCTGGGCAGTGCTGGGCTTCAAATTCATGGAGCTGGAGGCAGCTGTTTCTTATGCCTGACCACCCCTCAGGAAGGAAGCTGAGGGCTGGCAGTGTCACATCTCTCCTCATCTCAACCTTGCTGCCAGGACATTTTTACAAAGGCTGAGTTTGTGGCCCATGACAAGCTACAGGGGTGTGTGGTATAGCCAGCACACCCTGCCCCATCCATGCCATGTGGTGCCTCAGAGGCCCAACAGCTGCCTGGTTCTTCCTGCCTCTCGGCCTGGTTTCTGGGGCTCTCATGGGGTGCTCTCCCAAATGTCCACTCCCCCCGCACCCCTGATGGTCTTGCCCCTGCAAAACTGAGTTGCCTCTTCTGCTGAGAAACTCCTGAGCATCCCGACCAACACCACTTCTGTCGACTGACACTTCTCCCTCTTGTGTTACAGTAGCTGTGGCCCTCAGCCGGGTAAGGGGGCATTCCCGGGCTGCAGTGTGCTGGCTCATTGTGCAGTAAAGGGTTAACTCAGCAGAATTAGGGTGCCCAAACTCTGCACATTGCAAAGAATGGATTGGCCCCTGATCAGCTCCTGAGACCCTCCCACCCTTGGAATATCCTGCCTGATAAGAGTGTCTTTGTTTACTGGGGGCCTTGGGCCATACCAGATAGTCTGTGCCAACAGTGTGATTTATGATGGGGACCTTGGGTCACACTGCATCAGGTTGACCTCTGAGAGAGCTGGAGGCTGAGTAAAGTCAGTCATGCAAGCAGTCCACATCTATGTGACCAACCCCCATAAAATCACCAGGCCTGGGTGAGTTCCCTGGTTGGCAATACTCCACGTGTACTGTCAGTTGCTACTGCGAGAATTAAGCTGTCTGTACAATTCCACTGGGAGAGGACAACTGGAAGCTTGCACCTGGTCTCCTAGATTCCAGCCTGTGCACCATTTACCTTTGTGATTATAACCTGTATCCTGTCACTGCAATAAGCCATTAAGAGTCCATCACTTATTCTGAGTTCTGTGAGTCCTTCTAGTGAGTCCTCAAATCTGAAGGTGGTCTTAGGGACCCCTCAGTTGTCGTTTTGTATTCAGTGTCTCACTGGTTCACTCACTCATTTCCTGTCTACTTTGGCCCTATATGTGCCAGGTAATCGGGATACAGAGGCACCTGAGACATGAGTGTGTGCTAAAGGGGCTCCTGGTCCAAGGCGGCTCTGGACAAGGACAGGGACAATGGCAACGCAATGTATGCGCTGCTGTGGGGACGGGAAGAGAGGACAGGCTTCTGATTCAGCCAGGGAGGAGTCACCCTGGAGCTGATGCTGAGGACATGAAACCAGAACAAGCTGGCTTGTCCGAGGAAAAGGGAAAAGGTAGGTTTGGTCAACACAGGCTGCCCATGGGACATGGGGAATGAGCCTGGAAAGGCGGGCTATGGTGGATGAGGCGACAGAGAACCCCTGAGTGAAGTTGCAGGGAACAGTGAAAGGCTCACCCATCACAGGAACAAATGTGTGTCTCCTAGCAGGAATTTAACCAACATCTGGCCTGAGCAATGGCTGCCCAGCTCCTACTTTGCCTTTGCCTCAAGTCAGCCAAATGGCCTCACTTGCTTCTTCAGGTGGGACCCGATCATCCCACTGTCTCTCATTCTCAAGGGAACTTAATATTCTAGAACTGCCTTCTCACAGACCTCTGGGAGTCTGCTGAAAGGGAAGGAGGCCCTTTTGCCACTCTGTCCTTACCTGCCAAGTCTAGTGTCTTCATCCTGAAAAGTGAGTGGCTTCTAGTGGGGGGCCTTGAGCATGTGGTTTAACCTCTCAAAGTCTCAGCAACTTCATCTTTGAAGTGGGGATAAAAACACCTGTGTTCCAGGGCTGCTGAGAGGACAAAATGGGACAGTGTGTGTAAGTGCTCAGAAGGTGTGCAATTTTATGCTAAGATCACTCTCTGGCTTTAATGAAGTCCTCATGCTGAAGTGGAGGAATGACATAGAGTTTTCTTTCTAAAGAGCTGGATTTGGTGACACACCACCACATTTTTGAATAGAGAGCTTACTTTTTGAGGGGGGAAAACAAAACCAAGTGGCCTGAGTTAATACAAGGCACCAACGACTGAAAAGCATCTTTTTCCTTAAAGATTGGCACCTGAGCTAACAACTGTGGCCAATCTTTTTTTTTTCCCTGCTTTATCTCCCCAAATCCCCCCTGGTACATAGTTGTATATCTTAGTTGCAGGTCCCTCTAGTTGTGGCATGTGGGACGCTGCCTCAACGTGGCCTGATGAGCAGTGCCATGTCCGCGCCCAGGATCCGAACCAGCGAAACCCTGCGCAGCCGCAGCGGAGCACGTGAACTTAACCACTCAGCCATGGGGCCGGCCCCCCTTTTTTTTCTTTTAATTACATTTTTGCTTTGGCAAAAACTTTGAAATGAGCTCTGTTCCAGGCCTGCTGAGAGGAAGACTGTTCACACTTGTGGATCCTACCAGCTGGTGGGCATCTGGGTGAACCTGTACAGTGGAGAAGAATTGGGGGTGGTCATTGTTCCCTTTGAAGGTTATGGAGAAGCGTCCAGAAGATGGATCTGAGGCCCACTACCAGCTTTCTCATCCAACTAGGTGACTCTGAAGATAGAAGTGTGAGATGTGCAACACGGTCTGCTCTGCGCTGGCCCAGGGTTCCTGACACTTGGCCCTCCGCAGGATGGAGGACAACACATCAAGGACAAGTCTCTGCCACACTGGGCACATCCCCACGTCACCGATGTATGAGAACCAAACAGTGTTTGAAGGATTTCTGATACTTGCCATGGTCTCACGATCTCCCCCTGGGAGTGAATGCTCTGATGCTGGGCCAGGGACCTGCTCTGGCTGAAGGATTTGCTGCATTTGTGACACTCAAAGGGCTTCTCTCCAGCATGAATCCTCTGGTGCAGAATGAGGGCCGCAGCCTCTGGAAAGGTTTTCCGACACACGCCGCATGTGAAGGGCTTGGCACCCACGTGGACACGCTGGTGCTGCAGGAGGTGTGTGCCCCGCCCAAAGGCTTTGCCACACACATTGCACATATAGGGCTGCTCCCTGGTGTGCACTCGGTAATGCTCGGTGAGGTGTAACATCTGGATGTAAGCCTTGCCACACTCATTGCACTTGTAGGGCTTCTCCCCAGTGTGAGTCCTCAGGTAGAGGGCGAGGGAGGAGCTCTGCATGAAGGTCCTGCCGCAGTCGCCGCACACGAAAGGCTTCTCCTCAGTGTGGATCCGCTCATGCTGGGTGAGGAACTTGCTCTGGCTGAAGGCCTTCCCACATTTCCCACACGTATAGGGCTGCTCTCCTGTGTGGACCAAGGCCAAAGAGTCACTGAAGGGTTTCCTGCACTCCCCACACATGAATGGCTTCTTGCCACTGTGGATCTTGAGGTGCTGGGTCAGGTAGGAGCTCTGGCTGAAGGCCTTCCCGCATTCTCTGCACATGTAGGGCCGCTCACCCGTGTGCACCCGCTGCTGCTTGGTAAGGGAGGATCTCTGGCTGAAGGCGCGCCCACACTCACTGCAAATGTACGGCTTCTCGCCTGTATGTGTCCTCAGGTGCTTGATGAGGGATGAGCTCTGGCTGAAAGCCTTCCCACACTCTTGGCACACATATGGCTTCTCTCCCGTGTGGCAGCGCATGTGCTCAGCCAGGGACAAGCTGAGGCTGAACGCCTTGCAGCACACATGGCACTCATAGGGCTTCTCCCCGTGTGGGTTCTGTGGTGGATCAGGAGGGCTGAGGAGTCAGCGAAGGCTCGGCCGCACTCACAGCAGGTGAATGGCTTCTCCCCACTGTGGACTCGCTGGTGATGCACAAGGTGGGTGCTCTGGCTGAAGGTGCGCCCGCAGTCACCACAAGCGTATGGCTTCTCACCTGTGTGCACCCACTGATGCTTGGCCAGGGACGAGTTCTCCCGGAAGCGCTTGTTGCAGTGGCCACACATGTAGGGATTCTCGCCTGTGTGGATGTGCTGGTGCTTAACCAGGGATGAGTTCTTGCTGAAGACGCGTCTGCACTCCTGGCACATTCTCGCCGGTGTGGGTTCTCTGGTGCTGAATGAAATTTGAGCTCTACCCAAAGGCCTTCCCGCACTCTTCACACACATAGAGCTTCCACCTGTCAGGAATCCGCTGAGAGCTCAGGAAGCTTGTGTTCTTGCCAAAGGCATCCTCCCATCCGCCACATGCCAGTGTGCCCTCTTCAGTGTGGACACCTTGTGGGTGACGGAGGTCTGGAAAAGAGTCACAGGCTTCTGTACACACACCTTCTCCTTGGCAGGGGCGCCCCTGACCTAGGACTGAAACACATGTGAGACCCTTTTTATGAACACAGTTTGTGGGAGCCTGCACCCCTGGGGGACGATTTTGATGCTCAGTGAGGAAACGGCACCAGAGGAACCTTCCTCCAAGGCTCCTCTCCCTCTAGCTAGGTGTCACTGCTTGGCAATGTCTTTCTGCCACCTGGCTGCCATGCTCCGTGACTTCTCTTAGGATTATGTGCCGGAAATCCTGCCCCAAGAGTCCCATTGTCATCTGCCCCTGAGGAAGAGCGCCTTGGTCTGGAAGCAGCCATATGGCTCGGGACCCAGGCTCTGAGTCTGAAAAATAAGCAGAGAAACATGCTCAAGCCCCACCCTGACTGTGTACCGCCAATCCAGAACCTCAGCAGTCAGGCTAGGCTGCCAGAACGAGCTGCAGGCCAGGGTGGTACGAGTCTGTGGCTTTTAAGATTTTTTTTTTCCTTTTTCTCCCCAAAGCCCCCTGGTACAGTTGTATATTCTTAGTTGTGGGTCCTTCTAGCTGTGGCATATGGGATGCCACCTCAGCTTGGCCTAATGAGCAGTGCCATGTCTGTGCCCAGGATTTGAACCAGCGAAACCCTGGGCCGCCGCAGCAGAGCGTGCAAACTTAACCACTCAGCCACGGAGCTGGCCCCGAATCTGCGGCTTTTAGAAGGGGCTCCCGCAGTTGAGGAAGGGGACAAGGACTGAGGCACCCACTGCACAGCATGTACCAAAATTCCTGAACCCAAGAAGGAAAGCACGTGTTCAGTATAAACCAAAACGGTTTAGGCACAACGAGCCACTCTGATCATTTAGGGGATGGTGAGGACCCTCCTGAAATCCAAGTTCCAAGACACCAGCCAAAGGCCAATGTTGCCCCAGGCCTTTTGGGGGATGGTGGCCACAGGCCTGCTGTGTTAACCCTTTGCTGCACAGGTGGGAAGGAAACGGGTAGAGGAACACAGAAAGACACCGGCCAAAGCCTCAGGAGCCACCCCAACTGTCAGCTGCTGGTGGGGCTGTTTCACAACCATGCCCTCACTGGAGCCGGGCCTGGCCCAGAGAGTGCAAAACAAGTGCTCGAACAAAAACCTGCATGTGACTGTTCATGGTGGCACTGTTCCCAATCGCCGAAATGTGAAAACAGCCCAACTCTCCACCAGCAAAGAATGTATAAACAAAACATGGTCTATCCACTCAGTGGAATATTATTCAGCCACAAAAAAGAATGAAGGACTGATCTGTGCTACAATGTGGATAAACTATGAAAACACTATGCTAAAAGGCCAGACACAAAAGACCACATTTCGTCTTATATGTATCTATATGAAAATATATGAATACATTTATATAAATTCCATTTATATGAAAGATTCAGAACAGGCAAATCTGTGGAGACAGAAAGTAGACTAGTTGTTGTCAGGGCTGGGAGAGTGACTGCTTAATGAGTCTGGGTTTGTTTCCAGGCTCCTGCACCTACCCACTCTTTCCTGTTGGTTGTACACTGCACCTTCTTGCCCTAGGAGGAGAAAGAACAGTTAACAACAGTTACAGTTAAAACACTGCATTGTACGTCTCAACTTTCCTGAGAGTGAATCTTAAGTGTTCTCACCACAGGGGGAAAAAACTCATAACTATATGTGGTGATGGATATATTAATCAGCTTGATAGTGGTAATCATTTCATAGCATATACATCTATCAAAATACCATCTTAAATATATAGAATTTTTATTTGTTAATTATACCTCAACAAAGCTGGGGAAAATTAAATTAAAAAAATAATAAACTGATCTGATAGGGAGACCCTTCCTTCACTCACCTGGACCTCTCGGGGCATCTCTCTCCACAGTCCAGGGGTCTTCCCACTGCTCCAGCTTGGAGATCGCGTCTGGTTTGGAATCAGGAAGTCCTGCCCATGGTGAGAAGGGAGGAGGAAAACATTGATGCTGTTGCTACAAGTCAGCCAGGGCCAAATAGGGCATTGTATGTGTCCCAAGGCACAGGAAAGGTCTCTACCTGGTGACATAGGTTGGGGCACCCGGTCTTTGCACTGGGGGGACTTGGCTGGGGGACATGAGTCAGAGCAAGGACACACCTGGGTGTGAATGATCGAGGACGAGGCAGGGGAAACACACACAAATGACATGGATGAAGAGGTGACAGGGAGGCCTCAGCCAGGGACACCACGTTGCTGTAGTTCCTTAGCATCACGTCGTGGAACAGGATCCTCTGTGTTGGGCCCAGCAGCCCCCACTCCTCCCACGTGAAGTCCACAACCAAGTCCTTAAATGTCACTGGCTTGTGAAACATGCCACATGCACTGGCTCAGCCATGGGCCATGTCTGACCAGGGCTAGCCCCATGGGGAACAGCAGATGTGAATGTTCTGGGAAACGCTCTGTTGTCGGGGGCTCATGCTGAGTGGCCTAAGCCAAGAGTTGGCAGTATTATCGCCTTGATACTGGATACTGTAGTCTCACCTAAATATCTGTATCTCCCCCAAATCCCTATGTTAATGCCCTAACCCCCAAAGTGAAGGTGTTTGGAGGTGTGGGACCTTTGGGGTGATGAGGTCTTGAGGGTGGAGTCCCATGATGGGATTAGTGCCCTTATCAGAAAAGGTAGAGACCAAAGCTCTTTCTTTCTCTCTCCGCCACGTGAGGACAGTGAGAAGGCAGCCACCCGAAAGCCTGGAAGAGAGCTCTCCCCAGAACTGAGCCCTGCTGGCACCCCGATCTTGAACTTTCCGCCTCCAGAAGTGTGAGAAATGATGCTGTTGGTTAAGCCACTCAGGCTGTGGGATTTTGTTGTAGTGGCTGAGCAGATGAAGACACAGTGATTCCTCAGCACTTCCCAAAGTGTTCAGCTCTGCAGCCCCTAGAGGGACAGTTGGATGGCCCTTGCCAGCCCCCCACAAAGCCACTTGTCACACCTGTGTGGTCTCCCTCCCCTTCAGGGCTGGGCAGGGGAAGCTTGGAGGCTAGGATGGCATGTGGTGCCAGCCACAACATGTGTCCCCAACATGGCCTTTACTGCCCCCACAGTGGCACCCTCAGGCTCTGGTAACAGCTCCTCTGCCCGTGTGTGGCTGTGTCCTTAGGGACCCCATGGAGAAGGGGCCTGTCAGGAGGCAGCACTGATTTCAGAGTAGCTACTTACCACTCTTAACACCCAAAGCCCCCACCTCCTATCTAGACGCTGCCCAGCACCACCATTCACTCATTCGCCTGCTAAGACCTCCTCCCAGGTGTCTTCATTGCCGGGCCCTGCTCTGTCCCTTTCCTGGATATGTGGCTGAGAGACAGAATGGACAGACCAACTGCCTCACTCCCCCAGACTGAAAACACATTCACACAAAAACCTGTACGTGAATGTTCACAGCAGCATTATTTGGACAAACTGTGGTACATCCATACAAGGGAATGTAATGCAGCTGTAAAAACGAATGAAGTACTGATACATACATAGCACAGCACACTTAGTGAAAACATTATGCTCAGTGAAAAAAGCCAGACACAAAAAACTCACCTATTGTATGATCCCATTTACATGAAATGTCCAGAACAGAGACAGAGGGTTGATTAATGGTTGCCAGGGGCTGGGGAAGAAAGGGAATGAGCAGTGATGGTTAGGGGGTATGCGGCACAGGCACACATGTGAGGTCACACCTGCACACACAGGGGCTGTCATACACTCAACACTCCCTCCATGCAGATATGCGTGCACAGTGACATGCTCGGCCACATGTACACAACTGGGGCCTCAGGTGCACACGCAGGTGGTGTCACACATTCAGGACTCCCCTCCCCTCTGACACGTACGGTGACACACCGGGCGCCCCCCACACACCTGAGATCTCATCTGTACACACAGGTAGTGTTACGCAACACACCCTTCCCCTGTGACACACTCAGGCACATGCCCACATCCGAGGTCGCACCTGCACACACAGGCAGTGACACGCTGGGCCCACACACACACCTGAGGTCGCACCTGCACGCACAGGTCGCTCCCTCCCCACCGCCCCACCCCCAGCCCCGATCCCACGGCCTGGCCGTCCTGGGTCGCTCTCCCCGCCCGGGCCTCCCCGTCCCTCACGCTTACCCGGGCAGCCTCAACCGCAGCACACTCACCTTCGCCGCCGTCTGCTCACACAGCCAGAGGGCGCCGCCACTGGCGCGCCCGCCGCCTATGCACAGCAGCCAAAGGCACTTCGGCCCGCGCTTCCGCCAACTGGCCCGCGGTCTGCCCGGAACTTCACCTCCCAGAGGGCTCTGCGCGCCGCGGGACTGGAGCCGGCCGGGCACTGGGTGAATGGCGTCCTGGGAAATGGAGTCCGTAGTGCGATGGCGCCCCAGGGGAGCGTGGGAACTTGTCGGTCGCTCTGCCCCAGGGGACACACAGGGACCGTCGTGTACTGACCAGCGTAGTTTTATGTCTGTTCGTTTAAGTATACGGCTTGTGTACTTTTTCCCGTTCGCACAGATACACACATGCATATATAAGTGTATACTTTGGGAAAATTTCCCCCAATCCTGTATATCGTGTAAATCCTTCAGCAGAAGTCCCTTAAGAACAGGTACATTCTTCCACCCACGCAGGAAACGACCTTGGAACCACAGTTATTTAAGCCACAGTCCTGTAAGCTAATTTCTCCCAATAACGTCCTACCTGCCTTTTTGTTTTCATTTTATTCAAGCTGATAAATAAATGACAAATAGGATATATTGGAGTATACGGCGAAGCCATTTGGTGTAAAACTGAACATCTTTTTTCAAAAGGGCCTGACTCTGGCCATAGAGCATGCATTGTATACCTGCTTTAAGTATTTACTGTGTCCCCAAAACAAGAACAATGCCCTTAAAGATAAGGATGTAACTTCCCACACATTGGCATTTCTTTAAGAATAAGCCCCTCTCCCTAAACTAAGGATTGATTCTGGCCTGCTGCTCTCACCCTGTGACCACCCAGCTGGAGACCACAGACCTGCTACCTGCTGTGTTCATCAATTGCTGTGTGAATCGCAGTGCCAGCAAAGCAGTCTTGTGACTACTGTAAAAGGGACATTCCAATTATCTGTGCTACATGCTCTTTGACGGTCTATAACTACTCCGTCAACCCCCACTTCTTTGGAGCACTCCATTCCTTTGTGAAAGGACTCTCCTGGGCTATTTGGCCCTCAGATCTGGCTCGTAATAAATTCACCCCAATTTTGATTTATAGATTGGTTATGGATTATTTGTGTTGACAAAGCCCAAATAAAAAAACATGCATTGTACTCTGCTGTCCTGTCTTGAGGTGGCTTCAATCTAGAAGAGACCCTGACCTTTTTTTTTTTTTAATAATCCTGACATTTTTCATGTATCCAAGCCAGTTTTCCAAACTATCCTCCAATTTAGATTTATCTGATTGTTCCCTTATATATAAAACAATCATAATCAGATTTTACATACTCCTGTTTTTTCCACTGACTCTGAACATTTCTCCACTTCGTTAAATATTTTTTGAAAACTATTTTTTATTAAATGGCAACACAGTTTTCCACCGTATGAATTTACCATAATTTATTTACCCTCTCTTTTGGGTTCTGGCCTCAATTCCAAAGTTGGGCAAGGGGGAGTGGTTTCCTCCAAACCAACAAGCAATTCTATGACACTGTCTACCCGGAGATAGTATCAGGTCCCACAGGTTAAGGGCTCAGTCCTGCATGAGTGCACTCCACATCAGTTGCCAACACACCAGTCGCTAAGTCCAGGTTGTTACCTATATTTCTGATGGACTGGCTACAAATAGAGGTTCCTGCAACCCTCTCTTCAGGTTCAATTAATTTGCTATTGCGGCTCACAGACCCCAGGAAACCTCTTTGCTTCTCAGACTATTGGTTTATTGTGAAAGGATATAACTCAGGAACAGCCAGATGGAAGAGACACATAGGGTGGGGCATGGGCGAAGGAGCTCGGAGCTTCCGTGCCCTCTACAGGTGCTGCTCTCCCAGCACCTCCACGTGTTCACCAACCCAGAAGATCTCCGAACCCTGACCTTTTGGGTTTTTAGTGGCTGTTACATAAGCATAATTGTTTTTTTTTTGTTCTTGTTTTTTCTGAGGAAGATTAGCCCTGAGCTAACATCTGCCAATCCTCTTTTTCCTGAGGAAGACTGGCCCTGAGCTAACATTCGTGCCCATCTTCCTCTACTTTATATGTGGGACGCCTACCACAGCATGGCTTGCCCCTCAGTGCCATGTCCACACCCAAACCAACGAACCCCAGGCCACTGAAGCGGAACGTCCGCACTTCACTGCTGCGCCACTGGGCCGACCCGCATAATTGTTTGAATCATTGGTTATTGGTGACTAATTCCCCCTCCGGTCAGAGAGGAGGGACTGAACATTCCAACACCCCAGCCACAGGGTTGGTTCTCTTGGCAATCAGCCCCCATCCTTAGGTGCTTCCAAAAGTCACCTCATTCACATTGAACAAGACACTTTCATGCTCCCATAAATTAGGAAATTCCAAGCATTTTAGGAGCTGTGTGCCAGAAAGAGGAACAAAGACCAAATATGTGTTTCTTATTATAAATCACGATCACACCCTTCCTCCACACCTTTAGCTGGAAATTGAGCTACTATAAACACATGCAATGAATGTCTCTGTACATGCATTTTTCTGCATATCCATGGCGACTCCCTAAAAAATCAAGAATGGATAGGCCCTGTGTGATGCAAATTACCTTCTTAATTAAGGGATGTGCCTGGGTACAATGTGGGACTTGAAAATTTCATCCAGAAGCAGACGCCTGTGACTTGGTAGAGAAGCTGACTCCTGATGTGCAGGCTGACCTGGCCTTCATTCCTTCTAGTCAGTTGATAACAAGGGGAATTAAAAAAAAAAAAAATCTCTCAGCCACGTCCCTTTAGACTAGAACCATCCAAAAGAACTTTCTGAGATGATGATGGACATTTTCTACTTCTAACTAGTGAGCAGTTGAAATGTGGCTAGTGTGACTAAAAAACAATTTTTAATCTTGGTTAATTTAAAATTACATCTAAATAGCTACATGTGGCTAGCGACTACCACACTGGACAGCACACTCTGGAACATGTTCACCTTGGATCTCCTTACAAGAGAACTGGGAGACTGCTGTTCAGACTGGGTGCAGATTTCTTCCCAGTTACCTTTTGTACAAATGACTTGAGGATCTCTGAGGATGTGCAAGGAGATGTTGAAAATGGGATCTTGGGCTGTTGGCCACAGTTTGTGTGTGGGTTCTCATAATTTGGGCTGATATAGGGAATTTAATAAAATAACTTGGAAATTTATGTGCTACAACCAGCTTGCAAGAAACTTCACAGAGTCTAAGTCACTTTACACTCAGCTGGTTCCGTTAACATACACATGAGCAAGTGTGTCTATGAACAGCTGAGGCCAAGAGGCAGTCATGTGGATGTTTTAGTGGGGGAGACAGACAGTACACAATGAAACAAATTATCAAACTTTAATGTGAAAGAGTTGAGACTTTTAATTTAAATTTACTTTTTGAACTGGTAATATTTTCACATTTCAAAATTCCAAAAATATCAAAAGATATAGAGTGAAAATTATTCCTCATCCTGGTTTCTCCTCCCCAAGAACTACTATGCCTGGTTACTTTGTACCCTTCAGAAATTGTGTGTGTGTAAGCAAATGTTTCCTTTTCAGACAAATGGAAGCATACTATCCACACTAGTTTACACCTTTTCCCGCAGCAGGAGCACCAGCACCGTAACTTGGACCTCTTTCCCACCTTAGTACATAGACAGTCCCCATTTTTACAGCTGTGTACAATCCACCATACATCACTTAGCTAGTTCCCCATGGTGGACGCTGAGGTTGTTTCCAAATTTTTCTTTTTTTTTTTAAGATTGGCACCTGAGTTAACAACTTGCCAATCTTTTTTTTTTTTTTCTCCCCAAATGCCCCGCCCCCCAGTACACAGTTGTATACTTTTAGTTGTGGGTCCTTCCAGTTGTGGCATGTGGGATGCCGCCCCAACATGGCCTGACAAGTGGTGCCATGTCCGCGCCCAGGATCCGAACTGGTGAAACCCTGGGCCGCCAAAGCGGAGTGCAAGAATTTAACCACTTAGGCCACGGGGCCAGCCCTCCAAATTTTTACTTTTGAACTCAATACCACAGTGACAACCATGTACAAACAGTTTGCACGTGTACAAATATATCTGTAGGATGCATTCCCAGCAACAGGTCTGCTGAGACAAAGGGTTTGTGTTTCTAATTTAGATGGCAACTGATAAGCTGCCCTCTACAAAGGCTGTGTCAATTCATACTCCCCCTAGAAATGCGGAGGAAACTCTCTTCCCCTTTTTGGGTAAAAGTCAAGGCTAGTAAAATGCTGAGTGGAGGTCACATTGCTACAATTCTCCTGAAAGTTTATTTAAAAAGCTACATGAAATTTATTGTCAGAGGAAAATGCTCAAAATATAGTAAGAAGTGTTACAGGAGAACTAGAAGGGATTCCAATTTTCTAAACACAAGATAACTACACATATATATTTTGTGTGTGTATAAGATTTAATGTACACACACGCGTTCAAGAAAAAATTACAAGGAAAATTAAGAAAATCTTAATAGTAATGACCATCTCTGGATGGTGGGAGTATGAGGGATTAAAATTTAAATAAATCTTCATACTTTCGTGTATTCTTTTACTTTTGTGCATTTTCCAGGTTTTGCTATAATTAATTTGCATTACTTCCATAAACTGATAAAACCATGCATTTTCCCTAGTTTATAGTAATTTCCCCTGAGGAGTTTCTTATCTGTTTCAAAATTTCTATAAGGAAATCAGTAGGAAAATATGCCTAGAAAAGGTGATCAGAAATGAAAAGTGGAAAAATTTGCAAAGATCTGTGCTTGCCAGGAGAGGGAGGCAAGTGCCAACAGTGACAAGCTTGTTCCTAGCTGACCCAGTGAGGGCACCGTGACCTCGGTCCCCCCAGAGTCCACTCTGATAACTGTGGAACCATAACCCTTCAGGAGCTGCCATTTTGAGGGCCAAGGTGGAGGCCACAGGGCAATTGAGGCCCGGCCTCCAGAGCAGTCCAGAACCAGGAAGTTACAGCTGAGTCTCCCTCCCCAGAGGGCACTGGCAGTTGGAGCATTCCTGAGCCCGCATCCCACACGACTGATGGGGCAGTGAGGAGGAGGCACAGTCAAAAGTGGGGCTCTGGCAGCTGGGCCCCTTGGTGACATGTCACTTCCCTTCTCCGGGCCATCCTGCACTGGCGATGGTAGTGGAAACAGGATGAAGGGAAGAGCTGAGATGTTTAGACACTAAGATCAATAGGACAACTATCTCCTGCCTTCAGGGACGGACTGGTGGATGGCCACATGCTCCATGAAATGGCCCAGGGGAAGGGGGCTGGTTTGGATTGGAAAAGGACATTTTGTTCTGGGAAGGTTATGTTCTTGAAGGTCATGGCACATCCAGGGGGAGCTGCCGGCAGCACAATGCTGTTGTTCCAGCCTGAAGTCCAGGACTCAGCACCAGAGACCAGGATTTGGGAGTGAGCAGTGCAGAGCCATGGGTGCAGATGAGGACATCTGGGGAAGGTGTGGAGCACAAGATGGGCCCCTGGGACAACACCCCAGGGACCCCAACATTTAAGAGGTGAGGGAGAAGAAGAAGCCCCTCAAGAGGTGGAAGGAATCCAGAAGAGTGCAGCATCCTAGAATGTCAGGGCACTGCGGGTTGCAAGGAGGGCCCAGGAAGCAGGCTGAACAATCCAGGAGGTGAACAGAAGATGCTGAGGCAGTGGCACCTGACCAGGCAATGGGGAGCACTGGTGATTCTTCCAGGAAAAGACTGGAGGAGAAAGGCGGCAGATGCTGCTAGTTGCCTATCCACCCCCACTTCCCCAGACCTCCTGTGGGTGGAGATCTCCACCACGGAGGTTAGAAAAGCTAAACACTAGCTTTCCAAGCCCCTGGTCAGTAAGAGTGGCCCTGTGAGCTAGTCTTGGCCAATGAGGCAAAAGTGGGCATCTGCTGGCATCTTCTGGGAAAGCCTTTTCTTTGAAACCTCATCAGAGATGAGTGTTGGCCTGCCCTTCCCCATCTGCTTCTGGTCTTGACTGCGGAAGCAACAGCTGATGCTGCAGCAGTCTCCCTGCGACCGTGAGGGAAAGGTTGAGAAAACCATGCAGAAAACCCTGCCTCTGACGTCACTGAGCCACTGAAGGGACAGTGCTTAAAAGAAGCCTAACTTGCTTAACCCACTGTTGACTGGGTGTTGACTTCAAAGTCTACCTCCAATCCTAGCTGTGTAACCTTGGGATGGTTACTTTTGTCCTGTGCCATATTTTCCTTCTATGTATAAGGGTGCTACCTCACAGAACCATGACCAAGGCACCATCTGTCTCAAAACACACCTTTTCTTAGCTGGTAAATGAAGGTTATCTGCTAAGAATGAAATGGAAGGTGGTGCAGGCCAAGGTACGAGGACAGAGTCGCTGTGAAAAGTGGGCGCTGACAAGGGAAACACGTGAGGATGGCCCCCGAGGAAAGGGGAGCACGGAGCAACAAGCCTCAGGAGGGTCTTGTAGAAGCCCTGGAGATGAGCAGCACAGCTGGCTCTGAGAGCCTGGAAGCCAGCTCTGCCATGAAGGAAACTCATCAGCTGTGACACTCACAGCATCCAAAGGACAAAAATGGACACGAGGATTTGGGACAGAGTTCTGACACTCGCCATGATGTTCTGGCAGTGAGAGTTCTGGTCAATCATCCCGACACAGCCGCCAGAGCTGCTGCTGTATTCTTCCAGGATGATGTTTCTTCCACTCAGCTCTATGCTCTGCCCATCCATCCCTTCCGCAGGATGTTTATAGGAAACTGATTTCTAGAGGCTGAGATGTGCTGTGATCAATTTCCTTCCTTCCAATTTTCGATGTTTATGATTTACGTTTAACTTCACTAGGATGCAACTGCCATGGGAACAGCAGACATAGAAACAAAGGCAGCCGTTCTGTACAATGGAGCACATGACTCAGTGTCCCCGTGGGACAGGCATGGTGCTTACTGACAGTCCATGACTTGTTTCATTTTAGGGTAGAAAGTAGGTAAGGTTTAAAGTCTGGTTTTTATATCCCTCGTGCTGTCAGACACCAAGGATCACACCTCAATCACAGTGTTCTTCTTTAGGTCAAGAAGATACAGACAAAGGTCAGAGCTTTGCTTTCCTCAGGAGTAAAAGTGGAGGAAAACAAGAAGATAAGGAGAAGTTTCCGACTGTGGGCGTTAAAATGGTCATGTTTGAATGTTCTGCATCATATAAAAATAAACCATTTCCTCAGGGGTCTGGCTTTACCTGGCACTGACAGCTGAGACCTCCAGCAGAGACCCCATGCAAGATGCGGAGATGAGCCTGAAAAGACAGGGAGTCACACAGCTCACACGGCCCCTCAGCACAGCCCGGGGCTTGATGCCAAACCAGGAGTCATCCCACCAGCCTGAGTGAGGATGGCCTGATGGCCAGGCTCAGGATGAGGGCAGCATTTAGGTTTCCCTGTTGTTCTTTTCCCCCAACAAAGAAAAGACTAAAAAAGAAAGAAGGGAGACAGATTAAAATAAAAGAGACCTAAGAAAACTATCAACCAATGCACCGTGTAGATCTTGTTTAGATCATGATCAGAACAAATCAGAGAAAACAAAACAAAGTTACGAGGCAACCAGAAACATGTGAACACTAGATATTGGATGATATTTTGAGGAATTAACTGTTATTTCTGTTTAGATGTGATAATAGCAACAGTTTTACTTGAGATTTAATAAAAATTTTCCTGCTTCATCACAGACATTCTTTTTTTTTTTTTTTTTTAAAGATTTTATTTTTTCCTTTTTTTCCCCCAAAGCCCCCCGGTACATAGTTGTATATTTTAGTTGTGGATCCTTCTAGTTGTGGCATGTGGGACGCTGCCTCAGCGTGGTTTGATGAGCAGTGCCATGTCCGCGCCCAGGATTCGAACCAACGAAACACTGGCCGCCTGCAGCGGAGCGCACGAACTTAACCACTCGGCCACGGGGCCAGCCCCTCATCACAGACATTCTTAAGTGAAACAAGCATTTTTTTTTTTCTTTACTGCAATACCCAGTGAGGAAGAATACAAACAGGCCCCCAGGACACCAGGCCCTGGCAGTCTCACCCACTGCTGCTGCTGCACCATCAGTGAAATGCCAACACGGCCAAAAGGCAATTGATGGCTCAAGATTATTATGAAAATGGTTTTGTCCCGTGGCCCAGCCTAAGTCCCTCCTCTTAGAGATATACTCAGAACGACAGATGAAATGAGATGATTTCTAGGACTGAGGTGAAAATAGTCCCATGGCAGGTAGGATACCAGTGGAAATATATCATCTGTGTTTTGCAAAGTCCACAATAAAATGGTAAAATTTAGATTATTCATAAAAAGAAGTGGATTATCTTCTTTTCTTCACACCAACTACGAATGCTGAAAAATGGTGAAAAAGACTACTAAAAAAACACATTGTGCATAAAATAGCTAATGATGTCATTTGTTAAAATCAAACATCAGATTGTTAGTACAGCCCTGATCAATCAATTTACAAGGTTTGGAAAAAGCTGGCTGCAGTGTTGGGCATGGTTTCTCCACCTGACATGTTTGGGGCCAGATAATTCTTCGTTGAAGGGGCTGGCTTGGGCATTATAGGATGTCTAGTAGCATGCCTGGCCTCAACCCACTAGATGCCAGGGGCACCCTTCCCTTCCACCACTTATGACAACCAAATTGTCTCTAGACATCACCAAATGTCCCCTGAGTGGCAAAACCATCCCCGACTGAGAACCTCTGGTATAGAGCAGCACTGGCTGTTCTAAGGCAATGGTCTTCAAAGGAGCTGTGACACCCCAAGGGAATGCTGTGGGTCTTCCCAGTGGCTTCTCTGGCATTTAACTTGGGCGTGAGTGTGGCTGACATGTGGGCAGGAGCCAAGCGTGCTCTAATGACTGTGAAGTGCAGAAGTGGCCCCAGTGGATCACATATGTATGTGGGAAACAACCTGTTTATAATGTATGAACTGAGATCTTAAGTCAACTTCACATATTAACACAAATTAATTCCTGCATGCTTAGAATTTTATACAGAATCTTCCAGAAACGCAACAGCATTTTATTTTGTTCAAAGCTCTTGCAGGAGTTAGTCACCACTGTGGAAAACCACATCCCATACAGGAAGGCCCCTCACAATATTTCTGTGGCCAACATCGCACCTCGTGTGCCAGATGGCAAGTGACAGGCAATGTCCCAGATTTCTGGGTGTAATGGCCCACACAGTCAAACAGATAAATACTGTACCAACTCAGGACAAGTTACTCTATCACAAATTACTTTCCTTTTAATTATCCTTTACAAAATGGGGCTGTATATTGATTTTTTGACATTACACATGTGTGTAGACTACATTACCTATGAATTTATTTCGGGGTGTTAGAGGGAACAGTACAATTATCTATGGTTAAAGGGACACTGGGCTTGACAGATTTGAGAAGCACCAACTCAGGTGTCAGGAAGCACGATTTCCCTAGGACATCAGAGGTCACGATCGCCACTTCTACCCCTAGTACCCCTTTCTGTGGATATATTATGTGGACTCACCACATTTTTGTACCTGTGGTTCAAAAGTCATCTGTAGGCTTTCTTCCCTATGTGGATTCTCTGATGTCAAATAACATGGATGTGCCCATGGAAGGCTCTTCCACCCCGATGACATGCACCGGGTTTTTCTCATGCATGATTTCGTGGATGTCAAATAGAGCAAGCGCCCGGTTTGCAGGCTGTCCCGCCTCTGTCTCGCCCCCAGGGTGCTCGCCCGAGTGTGGGTGCTGATGCTGAGGCTGGCCCAGGTGCGAGCCTCGGCCAAATGGCTGCTCACGACGCCGGTTCCGTCCACGGGGCTCCTCTCTGGTGTGAGTTATCTGGTGTCGGATGAGGTGCGAGCTCTGAATGAAACACTTCCCGCACTGATTACACTTGAAGGGCCTATCACTCCGGGGAGCCCTCTCATCTGGATTCAAGGGTGGGTCACAGCCCAGGGCTTCCGCCCACTCGTGCTTCGTTAGAGCTGGTGTCTGCTCAAAGATCAGCCTCTGGCGGCACTCATAGGGCTTCTCCCCAGCATGCTTCCGCTGATGCTGGGCCAGGGAGGAGCTATGCCTGAAGCCCTTCCCACAGTGGTTACACTCGTAGGGCCTCTCCTCAGTGTGAGTCCTCAGATGCAGAAACAGGCAAGTGGTCCGTGAGAAGGATTTCCCACACACACTGCAGGTGTATGGCTTCTCTCCAGTATGCGTCCGTTTGTGCCGGCCCAGGGAGGAATTCTGGTTGAAGGCCCTCCCACAGTCCTGACACTCATAGGGCTTCTCTCCGGTGTGAATCCTCCGATGGACGGTGAGGTGTGTGCTATGGCAGAAAGACTTCCCACACTCGGCACACTTATAGGGCTTGTCTCCTGTGTGAATTCGCTCGTGCTGAACCAGGGAGGAGTTCTGGCTGAAGGCTTTCCCACACTCTTTGCACATATAAGGTCTCTCTCCTGTGTGGATCCTCTTATGTACTGTGAGGTGTGCATTATGGTTAAAGGACTTCCCACAGTCTGTGCATTTGTAGGGCTTATCCTGTACCTGGCTGCGTGTGAGTTCCACAACAGGAATGGCCTGACTGGAAGCTTTACTCCAGTCACTGCTGTCACATGGCTGTTCTCCTGAGGAGCCTATTTGCTGACTGACTAAGCCTGAGTTACGCTCTGTGTCTGTAACCTGTGAGTTGTAAGTACAGAAACCTTCTCTCCCAGTAATCCCCAGGAATGGGTTTAAGACTGAACTCAGGACACAGTTTTCTCCAAGTCCGAGACTTTTGTAGCCTCTATCTCGAATTGGTGCTTCCTCAAGGCTAAATTCCAATTGCCTCAAATTATCCTGGTCCTTCTTGGGTGTCTTTACCTGGCCCTCATGTTCCCAGTCTCCCCCTAGTGCTGTGGGACAGGGAGCATCCCTCAGGAAGCCTTCCCTTCCTGAGACATGGGATGGCTCCTCCTCAGGAAGGCCCTGCTCCTCAGGTGGCACTCGACCTTCAGGTCCAGGCTCCCAGTCTGAAAGAAAATCAAAGAGCTCTGAGGGGTTGGTGGAAAAAACACACAGAGGCCTATGTCCTAACTACAAGTCCTGCCTCCAGGCAAATCCTGATTCTGCTCTTATGTTGACACCAAGTGCCCCTTCAGCAAATACAGCTTCACTCATTCATTCTTTCAACAAAAATTTCTTGAGCATCTGCCATGGGTCCAGGTACTGGCCTGGATCAGGGGCCAGCAAACTACAGCCCCTAAGTGACAGATGGTTTTTATGTTTTCAAAGGGCTGTGGAAATTTTTTAAAAAGAGAGTATGTGACAGAGACAGGCAGAATTCTAAAGCTGTCCCCTGGCTGTCAATCAGACAGTCACTTGGTACTGCTGTGAAGGGATTTTGCAGGTGACATGAAGGTCTCTCATCAGCTGACCTTCAACCTTAAAACAGGGAGATGATGCTGGGTTATTTGGGTGGGCCCAAAGCAATCTCCTGAATCCTTAAAATCAGGAGAAGGAGGTAGAAGAGAGAGGCTGGCCATGCAGGGGGACACAAGCAGCTTCTCCCGAAGCTAAGAAGCTCTTGGCTGACAGTCTGCAAGGAAACAGGAACCTCAGTCCTATGACTGCCTGAAACTGAATCCTGCCAACAACCTGACCGAGCCTGGACCAGATTCTTCCTGAGCCTCCCAACGAGCACCCCTAGCTCAGCCGACACCTTGACTTTGGCCTTGTGAGATCCAGAGCAGACAAAGCACTTGAGTCTGACTGACGGAATCATGACATAACAAATGTGTGTTGTCTTAAGTTGCAAAGTTCATGGTAATTTGTTACAGCAGCAAGAGAAAAAACATACAGAGATTGCATGTGGCCTGTAAAGCCTAAGATATCTACTGTGTGGCCCTAGATGCTGGGATGAAGAATGACCCTAACAGACGAAAGCCCTGCCCTCAGAAGCTGGGGAGGCAGCCACTGAACAGAGCAGGGAAGGAGCAGGCTTGAGGGGAGACGAGGAGCTCAGTCTAGAAACCTGAAGTTTGATACGCCAGATTACCAAGTAGAAGTGCCCACACATCTTCAGCAAACCTTGCAAGGACCAGCCCCAAGGTTCTGGAATCCTCCAGAACAAGAACTGCCCCTCGAGCAGGCACAGGCTCTCCGCTTCTGATGGTGCAGAGAAGTGAAGTGTCTTAGTTTCTCATGGCTGCTGTAACAACTTACCCCAAGCTTAGCACCTTACAACAGCACACACTTATTTTCTTACAGTTCTGGAAGTCAGAAGTCCTAAAGTCAAGGTGTCGGCAGGGCTGCATAACCTCTGGAGGTTCTAGGAGGGACAGCAGTCTCACCATTTCCAACTTCTTGAGGTGTCCGCACTCCTCAGCTCTTTCCTTCACCCCCAGAGTCAGCAGCCTAGCATCTTCAAGTCTCTCTCTCTGACGTCACATCTCCATTCTTGCCTCCCCCAACACAAGGACCATTTGATTACAATGAGCCAACCCAATAATCCAGCAGAACAGGTTCTAGGGATTAGGACGTGGACATCTTTGGAGGCCAGGCTTCCCTGCTCGCCCCAGCTGTCTTGAGCCCCCTCACCTGCTGGAATTCTGTCCACAGCACACTATGTATTCATTCACTCAGGGTCCATCTCACCACACCAGGATGTCCACGGCCAAGTGCCTAGAGCTGACAGGTAGCAAGTACTCAAAACTACATGCCTCCGATGTGAGGGAACAAAGGGGAGCGGGGCCCAGGGAAAGGGGCTGGAAGAGCCGAGGCTGGCTAGGTGGCAGGCTCCTGCTCTCACTCGCCTCTGGCCCCTAAACTGGACTTTCTGCACAGCACCCAGAGGGATCTTACAAAAACATGTCAGTCCACACAAAAACTTGTGCAGGAATGTTCACAGCAGCACTATTGACAAGAGTGAAAAAGTGGAAACAACCCAAATGTCATCAACAGATGAATGGATAAATTAATGTGGGTATCCATATAACGGGATATTACTCACCACAGAAAGGAATGAAGTACTGACACAAGCTCCAACGTGACTGAATCTTGAAAACATGCTCATGAAAGAAGCCAGATACAAAAGGACACATAGTGTAAGCTTCCATTTAAATGGAATATCCAGAACGTGCAAACCTACAGACTGAAAGTGGATGAGTGGTCACCAAGGACTGGGAGGGATGGGTGATTCTCACCTGGGCAGCAGCCCTGGGCAATTCCTCTCTCCATCACCCACAGCTCAGCCCCTTGCTCCAGCTGGGAGATGACTTCTGGTTTTGGAAGCTCAGGCCCTGGAAACAGGGAAAGATACAGAATGTGGGAGTCTGCTCTGGGAAGAAGGAACCAGCCCAGGTTCCAGCCCTAGACTCCTGACCACAGGGACATGGGTACACCTCAAAACAAGGTGAAGGCTTTGCACTGGGACAGAAACTCCCTGCCTGCATGTCCCACAGGGAATGAAAACCCAAGGTCCCTGATACCCAGTCCAAGGTCAAGTCCACAGACCAGAGGCCCTACGACCTACAACCCAGGAAAAATAAGTCACCACAGGAATCTAGTCACCAGCTCAGGAAGTGGGCCTTACCCACAGAGAGCAGGTGACCAAAGGTCTCCAGCATCACATCACGGTACAGGGTCCTCTGTGCAGGGCCCAGTTGCCCCCACTCCTCCTGTGTGAAGTCCACAGCCACGTCCCGGAACGTCACTGGCTCCTGAAACATCAGACACACTCTCGATCAGCTGGACTGTCCCCATCAGTGCTCTCGGGAACAGGAGGAGGAATGGGGAAGAAGATGGGCAGACCAGTGTCCTAAGAGAGTGCACGTGCTGAGTGACATGAGTCAGGTCTTACTGGGCACCTCCAGGGCTGCTGCATGTCGGTGTGAGTTGTACTGCAAGGGGATGTGACAGCAACCAGGCAGGATGCAAGCCAACCACAGCTGACCTACAACCGATCTCAGATAAGTGAGGGTGCCTCAGAGAAGGGTCTAAGCTGCTGAGTTCCAGATCCTTGGGCTAAAAAAATGATTACTGTTTTAAGTCATTAAGTTTTGGAATAGTTTGTTATGCAGCAACAGCTAAGTGATGTGCTAACCAATCCTCAGATTCAAAGCAAGGCTCATCATCCTCCCTGAAAAGAGGGGTGCACAGTTGGAGTCAGAAACTCGCCTGCCTCCAGGGACCAAGCTGGCTCACAAGTGACTGAAGTGGGCAGCATGAGTGCTGACAACGGGACCTAACCTGTGAGAGGTGACGCTGGAGGAGACAGGTAATATGTGATCCATCTGAAGTGGCAGCCAGGAATCAGAACCAACTGATCACGGGGAATACAGGCCCCATGTCATCAAAACTGCCAATCTCTGGCAAGAAGCTAAAATATGGCTCATGTTTTTACGTGAAAACTTTTAATTTTTATAAGTTGATGCAATGTATCTAAAACATGTCCCACAAATGAAACCCTTCTGTGGGCTGGCTGTGGCCATGGTTGAAAGCTAGATATTTCTGGATCAGAGTCTTGGCTCTGCCACTTCCTCCTCAAGAAGCGCAGAGCAGATAGCCACCTCTGCCTCATTTCCTTGTCTACAAAAAAATCATTCTTTGGGAGCTGTGACAGGGATTAAGTGACTGCAAAACACTTCCTACAGGACAAATAGATAGCTACATGCAAAAGAGCAAAGTTGGTCCTCTACCTCACAGCATATATAAAAGTTAACTGAAATTGGATCAAAGGGGCCGGCCCCTTGGCTGAGTGGTTGAGTTGGCGTGCTCCACTTTGCGGGCCTGGGGTTTCGCCAGTTGGGATCCTGGGTGTGGACATGGGACTGCTCATCAGGCCATGATGAGGCAGCATCCCACATAGCAGAATCAGAAGGACCTACAACTAGAATCTATAACTATGTGCTAGGGGGATTTAGGAGGAAGAAGGAAAAAAAAAAGATTGGCAACAGATGTTAGCTTAGGTGCCAATCTTTAATAATAAAAAAAAGATCAAAGACATAAACGTAAGAGCTAAAACTATTAAACTCTTAGAAGAAAATATAGATAAATCTTCAAACCTTGGATTTGGCAAAGCATTCTTAGATATGACAGCAAAAGCACAGGCAACAAAAGAAAAAATAAATAAATTGGACTTCATCAAAATTAAAAATTTTTGTGCTCCAAAGGACAATGTTAACAAAGTGAAAAGACATCCACATAATAGGAGATAATAATTGCAAATCACATATCTGATAAGAGACTTGTATCCAGAAGATATAAAGAACTCTTACAACTCAATAATAAAGACAACCCTAATATAATGGGCAAAGGATCTAAACAGATATTTCTTCAAAGAAGATATACAAATAGCAAATGAACACATGAAAAGATGTTTGACATCATGAGCCAACAGGGAAATGCAAATCAAAATCACATACCAAATATCTCAATTTTAAAAGGATATTTTCTTTTAAGAAAAACACAAATAGACTTAAAAATATTAAAGAAATTATAGTACAGGTAGCATGTGGTTCTGACAAAAATTGTGCAGGAAACACGCAGCACCCTTTGGTTGGAAATAAAGGTCTCTGTTGTCCCGTATCCTCACCTCCCACTCAGAAGGTCCTCCAACCCTGAGACATGCTCCCTGTGCCTCCTGCCCCCACCCACCATCGCCCACTCTGCATGAGTTGCCAGTGACAGCCCAGGTACTGGTCCACTGGGTACTGGTCTACCCAGGCCATGAGACCTCTCAGTGGCATCATGTGAGTCTTTCACGTCTCCACCTGGAATTGTAGCAGGAGCCACTCCTTGCTGTCTTCCTGCTGCTCCACCTCAGACTAGACCCCTGCAGCTCTCCTCTTGCTCTGCACTGTTGGCGCCTGGAGCGATGGGCTACATCAGACCCCTCTCCTCCACACACTCTCCCACAGCTGACCCAGCCACCCCGGCATCAGCCAGCACTTCAGTCACTGGGCAAGCCCGTCTCCATCCCGGTGCCTTAGTTAGCTCTCAGTATCTCTCCTACCGCCACCCTTCACATGCTTGAATGGTTTTTCTCCAACCCATGCTATTCCTGCTTAAAACACTTGAATGGCTCCTTCTCACCTCTGGATAGAGGACGACCCCTTTCAGCCTGGCTAGTTGGCTGGATAATGGCCCCCAAAGATACCTGGATCCTAGTTCCTGTGAATGTTACCATAGTGGCAAAAGGGACTATATGATATGATTAGAGATTTTAAGATGGGGAGATTATCCTGGATTATCCAGGTGGGCCCTAAATGCAATCACAAATGTCCTTCTAAGGGGAAGGGAGAGGGAGATTTAACTACAAAAGGCAGAAGGCAATGTGACCACTAAAGCAAGAGGCTACGCTGCTGACTTGAAGAAGGACAAAAGGCCACAAGCCAAGGAATCCGAGGCTTACAGCTCCAATAGCTAGAAAAGGCAGGAAATAGATTCTCCCTCGGAGCCTCGACAGCAAGGGTGGCTCTGCTCACACCTTGATTTTAGCCCAGTTCGACTTCTGACCTCCAGAACTGTAAGAATAAGTGTGTATTGTTTTAAACAACCAAGTTTGTGGTAATCTGTTACAACAGCCACAGGGAAGTTAATACACTGGACCTCAAAGCCCTCCACTTCTGGTCCTTGTCTCCTGTGGTGGCCTGCCTTCAAGATGGCTCCCAAAGATCCCCTGCCCTCTGTAGTCCCCTCCTATACTGAGCAGGTTTGATTTGTGTAACTGATAGGATATTATGTAAATGACAGACTGAATTCTGACCCCAGGTCACAAAAGGCATCATGATTTCCACCTTGCCCTCTCCTGGATCACTCACTATGTGGGAAGCGGGATGCCATGCGAGGACACCCAAGCAGCTCCACAGAGGCCCACATGGCAGAAACTGAGGCCTCCTGCCAACAGTCCTGTGAGTGAGCCATCTTGGAGGTGGATCCTGCACCCCCAGTCAAGTCTCAGGTGAGAACAGTACAGGCTGACATCTTGACTATAACCTCATGAGCCAAGGCCAGAGCCACCAGCCAAGTCACTCCAGGATTCCTATCACTGGAAACTGCGAGATAATACTTGTTGTTTTAGGCATCTGAGTTTTGGGTTGTCACACAGCAACAGATAACTTAAGCCTATCTTACTGCTGACAAAGACTCTCCTTGACTAAACTTTAGTCTGTCTCCTCTAAACCCTCTTCTCAACGAGGCCTTGACCTTTGGGCTTCTGTGTCCATTTCTGCATCACCAGTTTTACCAAAAGTCCTGTCAAATAAGTTTAGCCAGAATCCCCACCCTCCATATCTGATCACTCTCTATACCTTTTCTAAGTCCTCATGCCCCACAGTCCTCCAGGTAATATCTGTACACTTGGCCTGCTTCAGCTAGAATCCCATTAGGTCAGTTTACCAAGAATTACCTGCCCCCCATGCTATAAGTCTCCACTTTTCCTTGTGGTATTCCAAATTGAGCCCAGTTTTATACTGGTCTCTTTTCCCCTATTGCAACAGCTCCTGAATAAAATTTGTTTTTACTGCTTTAACTACTGTCCAGCTCTGATTTTCTTTGACGCTGCTCACTCCCTGCCCACTCCTCCATCCACAGCAAAAGCAAACTAAAGTGTGGTTGCATTTCACGCAAATCTGCAACACACATCTGAAAACGTGCAAATCTCAGATTATCAATAGTTGCGCTTTGCGTACCAAATCTGAAATAATGCAACCCCCCGTGAACAACAAAAAAAGACAAGTACATAATTTCAAAGACGGAGAGCTCCAGGAAAGATAATTATTTTTGGTTCCTGCCACGTGGAGACACCCGTGGAGAACACAGGCAGCGGCTCCTGTGTCTACAGTTGCTGGAGCTTCCCAGGTGGCCTTGCAGGCACCGACCGCCCTGGACCGCGGTTCCCCACAGCCCCGCGTGCGGGGACCCGGGCTGCCGCTCCCGCCACACCAACGCGGTGCGCGGTGACCCGTCCTCACTCCCAGGCGCCGTGCCCCGCGCCCAGGCCAGGGGTGGCGCGGGGCGGGGCTCTCCGCGGGGATCTGCCGACTCCGCAAGCCGAGGCGTCTCTATTCGGTAACACCTGCCATCTCGGTCACTGTCACCGTCCTCACGGCGGTCGGCCTTGGGGCGGGGCAGGGGTATCGGCGGGAGCGGGACCAGCCCTGTCCTGGGGAATGACCCTAAGCCGCATCCGAGATCCTGGGGCCGGGGCATCAGCGGAGCAGGCGCACTCGTGGACCAGAGGACCGGGTTCGAACCCCGGCTGCACCCCTCCGCCCCCGGCCGGTCACCGCGTCGACTGCGCCTGTTGCCCCGTGTGTAAGGGGGACAATGCCCGTGCCCTGCTCACCGCGCGCTGCGAGGGTTAGAGGTCACTATCTGCGGGAAACTCGGCCCTGGGCCCGCTGCCGTCGTTATTTTTATTATTATTGTTACCTGAAGCCGTTCCGCCGGCGGCCCTATAGCCATCGCCAGTGCTGCCGCTTCTCTCTCGGGGTCCATCATGGAACGAGAAGTTGAGGACAAGCGCCCGAGGCGACCCTAAACCAACAGCTTGACCCGCCACCAGAACCGCTCGACTCACTGCCTGCCGGACAATGGCGGCGGCGCCGGCGACGCTGGGACTACAACTCCCAGAAGGCCGTGCGGCGCGCCGCAGCGCCCGGCCAATGGAAGCCTTCGTCCGTCGAGCCCCCTACCAATGGGAGCCTCCGTCCCGCTTGTTCTTCAGCCAATGGAGGCGAACTGGCTGCCGGCCAATGGGAGCCTCCGCCCGCCGGACCTCCGGCCAATGGGGTCGCTCAGGAGGCCGGCCCGGGCCAGGGGGTCCTGGAGGGTGGGGGCGGCGGCGACTCTGGCTGCGGCGCTAGCCGGGCGCCGGGTGACGCAGGCGTCTGTCCTTTAAGGGCGCGCGGCAGGCTCCCGAGACCCGGATGCGGGGGGGATCGTCTTCCCAGCCTCGCCGTTGAGGGTCCGCGTATCTGCGACGCGGCGGCGCGTTGACGGCGGCCAGGCAGGCAGCGTCCCGCAGCCTCTGCCCCGCATCCACCTCAGAATACGGTCTGTCTACACTGGAGTGGGGCCCGGAGCTCTGCCCCGCGTCCACCTCAAAATGTGGTCTGTCTACACTGGAATGGGGGCCGCAGGCTCTGCCCCGCATCCACCTCAGAATGCTGTCTGTCTACACTGGAGTAGGGGCCGGGCTTGAAACCCGGGGCCTGCACCGTCCAGCTGGACATGCACAGGGGCAGGCCTGTGGCTCCCATTTTATTCTGCCATTGTACTTAAAGCATTTCTATGCACCAGAATTGCGTGACCATTTAACATGTGCTCATGTAATCGATTTAGGCGGGCTGGTGAACGGAAAGGGGCACGCGCGGTTTCTGAGGGCTGATCTGTTTCTCGATTTGGGGTGTTCCCTTTGCAGTGTGTCATTTCTGTGGGTCCGTCAGAGGCCATTAACAAGTTTATTAGGAAAGAAGGAAGAAGCAGCTGTTCACCAGGATGCAGTTGAGCCATAACAAATATTTATTTGACTATTTACCGTGTGCTAGGAACTGGGCACACGTGAGGGAGTAAACACTCTCCTGGGCTGCCGCTCTGCCCATGGTGTGGTGGGAAGAGAGAGACAACAAACCACAGACGTGATAAAGGGGTGGACGACAGTGGTCACCGGCGGGGATGGAGCAGCTGGCTATGTCCACACTCGCCCATCCCTGTCCTCTCTTCTCTGCCCCTCTCTTCCCTCCAGTCGAGCAAACGCTCTGCTCTCTGCTGGGCAGCAGGGTGTCTCCTCTGCCACCTGCCCAAGGCACAGCCCCACAGGGTCAGCAGTACCAGGAGGAGCACACGTCAGGCATCTTCACTCACCTGAGCAGGTGGCAGGAGCTGCTGTGCGAACCGTGGACCAGGCAACCTCCAGGAGACCGAATCTGGCCTCTCCTGAGAGCCCAACAAATTTTCCAGGCAGTATCCCCTTCTCTGTGGGCAGAGAATGTCCCAGGAGGATCTGCCTTCCCCTTAGTAGCTGTCCCCCGGAGGGTGGAGAAGGTCCGAGGTTGGGGTTGGGGGCTGGATCTATTATCTTCTCCTTAGGAGCAGGCCGTGTGTTTATTCTGGAGTCAGTCACTGGGCTCAACTTTCCTCTTGATTCTAATGGTGCTGAATCTTTGATGCATGATGTTTCCATATTCTTTTAATTGTTTCTTTTCTACTACTTGTAGTTTTGTTTTCTCCTTGATTGTATTATAGGGTTTTGTCTATTGCAGTAGTTCTCAAAGTGTGGGCCAGTCACACCCTGGGGGTTCCTGAGACTGCCTCTGAGTCAGCAAGTTCAAAACTAAGTTCATAATAATACCTTTTTTCCCCACTCCCATTTTCTCACAAATGTACAGTAGAGTTTTCTGGAGGCTTCTGGATGAGTAATATTGCAACAGATTGAAGGTGTTAAAGACAAACAAAGCTGGATATTAGTTAAAGTGGTGAAAACAGATTTTATTCAGTAACTGCTGACAGTAGGGAAAAGAGCTGAGCTCCATTTGAGTTTGTGCAGAGGCGACTGGGCGTTTTAAAGGGAGAATGAGAGAATTGGCAGCGGGAGAGAGTGGGGTCTTGTGAAACATTACAAAAGGTTGGTCAGTGTAAATGTAATTAGGCCAGCTGTGTCTGCTAGCTGGTAATTATCAAAATTATCACAGAAACTGGAGACACAAGCCCCTATCCTTCCTGGATGATTAGATTGCAGAGGAATGGCTTTCAGGTCCTTGAGAAAGACACTTCTAAGTTGCAGGAAATACATAGACATCTTAAAGGGACAGAGAATGGATTCACAATTGTAAGCCCTTTTTAGCAAATGCTCTAAGAAAGGGAGGTCAGGCGCCTATTCTCAGGTGTTGGCTAGAGCAAACAGGAAATTCTCATGGCAGCATTTCTCAAACGCATTTTAATGGGATGCTGGAGTCTTCCTAGGAACACAGCCTCTTGCTACTAGAAGCCATGCTAGACGTTTGGTCCTCTCTTAGCACAGGGGTTTGGACTGAGTTCTTATGTGCTGAGAGTTCTGCAGTTCTCAAAGGCACAAGCAGCTATGGAAATCCAGCTGCCCTTGGTCAAGTCAGACATTTAAAAGGTTTGCAAAAGTATAATATAATATAATGCCACTCATCACCAATTTTTATTTGTTTTGGAAAATGTAGCTATTTTCCATAAAGTAGGTTGTTTTTGTTTTTTTTAAAAAAAGTTGTATTTGTCAGGGCTGCTGGAACAAAGTACCACAAACTGGTAGGCTTAAACAACAGAAGTTTATTGTCTCACAGTTCTGGAGGCCAGAAGTCTGAGATCAAGATTTTGACATCATTTGTTCCTTCTGAGGGCTGTGAGAGGAAGAGACTCTGATGTATCCATCTTTTTTTAGCTTCTGGTGGTTTGCTGGGTATTTTAAAATATCATCCAAAAGCTATTTGGTCAAAGAGGAAAAAAATAAGTAAAATAGAAAATAATTATCTGAATTTGTTTAGATAAAAGAATTAAAATACTCTGTGTCAAAATCATAGGTTTTGGTGTCCCTTGGCTTGTAGATCCCTGCTTTCATCTTCACATGACTTTTCCTTGTGTGCGTGTCTGTCTCCAAATTTCCCCTTTTATAAGGACACCAGTCATATTAGAGCAGGGCTTACCTTGGTGACCTCTTTTTAACTTAATTACCTCTATAGAAACCATATCTCAAAATTAGGTCATATTTTGACGTACGGGGTTAGGACATCAATATATAAATTTCCAGGGGATACAATTCAACCCATAACATACGCTAACATATGATGTATTTATTTTTATAAACTAAATTAATAAAATATTAAAATTTTTGTTTTAATTGCTAATATGGCAAATATTCACAGATAGAACCTACTTAAACAAAAACTGTTTGGGGTCCTCATTGATTTTTAACACTATCAAGGGATCTTGAGACTAAAAAGCTCGAGACACGCTTGTCTGTAGTGTAGGCTTTTTTTAATTTTTATTTTTTTATTGAGTTATTGATAGGTTACAATCTTGTGAAATTTCAATTGTACATTAATGTTTGTCAGTCATGTTGTAGGTGCACCACTTCACCCTTTGTGCCCACCCCCCACCCCGCCTTTCCCCTGGTATCCATTAAACTGTTCTTGGTCCATAGTTTTAAATTCTTCATATGAGTGGAGTCATACACAGATTATCTTTCTCTTGCTGGCTTATTTCACTTAACATAATTCTCTCAAGCTCCATCCATGTTATTGCAAATGGAATGATTTTGTTCTGTTTTGCAGCTGAGTAGTATTCCATTGTATATATGTACCACATCTTCTTTATCCATTCGTCTGTTGATGGGCACTTAGGTTGCTTCCACGTCTTGGCTATTGTAAACAGTGCTGCAATAAACATTGGGGTGCACAGGACTTTTGGGATTGCTGACTTCAGGCTCTTTGGATAAATACCCAGTAGTGGGATGGCTGGATCGTATGGTAGTTCTATTTTTAGTTTTTTGAGGAATTGTGTAGGCTTTTTTTAAAAGGAAGCTTTGATAATAATTTTGTATGTACTCCTATGGTTTTGACATGGAGTATTTTAATTCTTTTATCTAAACAAATTCAGATTATTTTCTATTTTATTTATTTATTATTTTCCTCTTTGATCAAATAGCTTTCAGAGGATATTTTAAAATACCAAGATTGAGCTATTTCTCCTAATTATTAATTTGTCATTTTCTTGCACTATTAGATAATGTGGTCATGAGATTTTAGTTTTTTGGATGGATGACCCAGTGGATGATCAGGTCTCAGGGACATCTGAGAAGGTGATTTCTCTTTAAACATAAATCTTTAGTAAGAATCTGCTACTTCAAGCTCATTATTGTATTACTAAAAGTTTGCATGTCCCTTTTTGTGTGTCTGCTTAGTCCTTTGCTGCTTAAATGGATTTTTCCTGGTTCAGTGGGATCAGGACCCCATAGGAATCAGCGTGGGTCATGTGCCTAACAGTGGGCCAATGAGTGTGACTTGAGAGGATTGGAGAACTATGATTGGTTCAGCCTGGGTCACAAGCACAGTCCTGGTCCAGAGGGTGTGGCTACTGAGATGGGGGACTCTGATTGGCCCAGCCTGGGTGATATGCACAGCTTCTGGGCTCGTCCCAGAAGTGGATATCTTGTATGGGAATCCGTGCAAGTTTCCTAAAGGAAAGGTCTCTTTTATGGATAAACATAAGAAATGTCTCTCCTCCATTTCATTTTGAATGCTGGTCACAAACCTCAAGGGTATTAGCTGGATCTGTGACTTTGTCACCGAGAGAATTCACACATTTTTGTAGCACAGGACAGTATTGCAGATATCTTGAAATATCATGTCACTCATCACTACTCCAAAATTATGATAGTTATTAGGGTCGCTACTAAATTGTGTCATTTAATGTATTAGTAAGGGAGCTCACATATTATTGTAATGGTTTGTTTTTAAGTATTTTGATAACTGTATTTCAGTATAACTTGCTTCCTTTGTAATCTTGTGCATTTTATGTTATGCCCTTACAAACATAATTCTGAGAGGCTGGCCCAGAGGCGCAGCAGTTAAGTGTTCACATTCCGCTTCTG